CCTTTTTTCTTTCATGTGTGCTCACCAGAAGGGGTCATGGTCCCAGGCGTTCCTAGCGGAGACCGGGTAAACTGGGGATAAGAATCGTGGCGTGACCGACGACATATTCAGAGCACCATACATGTTTTGTGAAGAAAGCTTAGGAAACTTTAATGCGAAAGATGTCGAGCTTTTTCGGAACGGGTCAGTCCACGAATCTATTGCTTGAAAGAGTTGATTACTTTGGAATAAGTGAATACTTTAGTGGTCGAAAAAACGAAAAATCTTTGTGAGCAAAACTTCGATGGTGAGGCTAACGGTTCAGCTGTTGTAAACTTTTATTAAATGAAAATAGGTCTCTTGATGAGCATGCGGTATATTTTCGGCGATGATTGTAATGACGCGCCATGTTCATCACTTTTTTGCTCTTTGTCCTATGTAATTTCGATCGAATCGAGGCCCTTCAATTTTCGTGTATTTATACACGTGTACTCAATCAATCCAGAAACAAATCGTCGAATACGGTATAAAAAGTAAATAAGTAGGATGTAAAAAACTTTTAGCGAAGAAATTCTGTTTCGTGTAGAATTAATCGCCTCTTTATTTCTTATCTAATCTCCAAGCAAACTCGATTAAAGGCTTTTAAGTGCGTCTTAATAAGAGCGTCTGATATTAGTAATGTCATTAAGTTGGAAAGCACTTATAGACAGACAATAGAAATGTAGTAGGGATGTTTAGCCCCATTTTTGTGCAGTACCACATTAACATTGAAGACGTTATGAAGATGCCAAGGAACTTCTTAAATCGGATGATGTCATGTTCCATTTTTGTGACGATGATCGCGATAGTGTTGGAGGAAACATTTAATTGTAGTGTCACTAAAACCAATTGGCCTTTATCGCATGGACAGATATGCACTATCTGCCAACCAAAAGTCAAAAAACCAGAAAAAGGATACAAATTATTTTTCAGCTTTAGGTAACCAGCAAAATTGATTTGCAAAATATATCAACAAAAAAGCGTATTCTACTTTCTCTCAACCACTGAATCGGCAAAATCTGTGACGTCGTCTTTTCAAGAACAACGATTCATGCCAAACCATAGAACTTGATGTCATTGACATTTAAGTATTCCTTCACAAATGCACAAGATTTCTGCGCAAGAAAGGGGAATAAAATATCCCTATCATACTACTGAATAATATCAATATATGGTTCGGAAGTGCTGATACATATGCGGTTGAAACGCTTTTGCAATCTTTACCAAGGGTCATCCCTTCCCATTAGCACTCATACATATGATATCCTCTCGTTTGCGTCCGTTTTTCGTTTGACGATCAGCTAAAATTTTCATTGCTCTTTCTCACAGCGTATCATAAAACGTTACTACTACAAAAATTGTGTCACAAGACTTACCACTGACAGAGAGGTTTCATCTGCAAATATGCCTGGTATTTCAACAAGTTTCAACTCTGACTCGGGTCTCTCACGTTCTAGAATCTCGTCTGGTTTACGGTTGGATTTGTTTGGATTCGAGGTCAGCAACGGCTTCAACAGGACTCCCTTACCTTTTGCTATTAACGTACAAGAAAAAAAATGTTGACCAAAATTCTTTTGCTAATGTACCGTACGTACAATTTGTTTAAAGAGGAAGTATCGGGTTTTTTGGTGGTTTATTTTGTATGCAGCCATTAGAACTGAATAGACACCGACCATAGAGACGAAAAAAGATCACTTTATTACGTAACAAACAGGTAAACAAACGGTAGAGTAGTTTTCACTTTATTCAGACCTACAATGGCGGCTACGTAGAAAATAAAAGGAGAAAGAAACCAAAATATCCTGTTTGGACGTCAACTTGGTTATTAAATGATTTCATGACATTTCCTTCTAGCTTACAGTGCATGTGTTAAGGGATGTGACGTATACCGTCAGTTTATTATGGGCAACTGAAAACTTGCCCCATCTTCGCTCAATAACTTACTTTTACAGCCATGGCTAAATAGTACGCATTAACATAACGTACCTTTCTCTCTAACACGTTTCCCGTTGAAAACTCAGTGAGGGAGTTTATAAGGGAGATTACGACAAAAACAAACGGTAATACGGAGCCTATTAAGGAAAGGCGTATTTGAAGGATGCACGCAAACGGAAGTGAGGCCTTTTCCTGTCAACGGTCTTCACCTATTTGTATTGCTCGATGTCTGTTGTCTTATAGAGACGATTTGCCCAAGGATTTGGGCAAAACCACTGCACTACCCAAGTATACAAAAAAGTCCACTTCCGGTTGACGTGCGTCGCTAAAAAACACCTTTGCTTAAGCTCCCTAGTAACATACCTGGGGTTGTGTTCGGCCGCCGCACTGTTGGTTCCAAGAAAGAGATAAGTGAATCAATGTGTTCACCCACTTTTCTTTTAACGAGTGGAGTAGAAAATGTGTACAATATTGGATTGAGAGCAGAGTTCACTGGGAGAACAAACACCGCAATCCAAACGTAGGCTTGTTTCTCAGGATCATGAAACTTTCCGAGCAAGGATAAAAGGCCAATGACGATAATAGGCATCCAACACACGAAATCAGTTAAAACAATAAGCATCATTCTCTTAGCCATTTTCGATTCTCTCTTCATGTTTGTTGACCTGACCTGTTTTGCAGACCCCTTGACCCTTAGGTACATTGCTGTATACGCAGTGAGAATATACATAAAGGAGACAAAGTTTAGAATGATGAAAATGCTAACCGCATATTCCCAGCCAGCCTGTCTCTCTGTTGACAGTTGAAGAGGAAGGCAAACAGCTGATTTTCCATAAAATCCAACATCGCGCTTTTTGTCAAAGAAGTAATCAAACCCTAAGGTTGGAATGATTGATATCATTGTTCCAAAAATCCATATACCTCCCACAATAATGAAAGAACGCTTGCGATTTATCCGTCGCATTTTAAACGGGAAAACAATACAAATAAGTCTATCTGTTGTGATAAGAGTCAGCATCAACACAGATATCTCACTTGATGCCATCGAAAGGACCCCCGTAAATGCGCATGTCAGCCCCGATCTCCAATTGACATCATGTTTAAAGTATTCACCTTGCCATTGTACATCTTTGAAGGCAATGATAAGCAAATAGACACCCATTAGTAGATCTGAAATAGCTAGATTTGTCAGAAGAAATGAATGCACTTTGTTGTCTTCTTTCACAGAAACTCTCAATAAAATAACGAGAAGATTTCCAGCAAGAGCAGTAAGCCCCAAAATCCAAACACAAATCTGAACACCTTTGTTTTTCATCAAGTCAGAACAGCTAGAAAATTCGTCTTTGGGTGAGATGCATCGAACCCCAGGCACTACATTTTCGGCATAACAACAAAGAATATACTCGTCCAAATAACTGAAACGAAACAAATATCAAAATATCAAATTTCTTACTGCAATGGAGTATTAAAGATATATTTATCTCTGACTCGGCTAATATTTACCGTAAGTACATTACCCTCTTCTGATTAGTTTTTTTTTTTTTTGCAAAACGCTACAAAGAATAACCTTAGGAGAAAATTGGTTACAAAAGTGATTGTCAGGGTACACAGTTTTTCAAACAGGCTTTAGCAAAAAAGATTGTGTAGTTCCAAAAACTATCCAAACCCCGCACGGAAGGCACTTTTGCTTTAGAGCTTTTAGTCTCCCCCCCCCCCGAATTTCCTTTCCAGGGGATGTATGTCAGACCTCGATTTCCAACTTTATTAGGCAGCCAATGGAAAGAACATTTCTGTCAAAAATGCTGTTGCACTATACTATTATGCGAAAGACCATTGCTCCTGCGATAAAGAGATAAAATATCTTTATATTAATTTTCACACAGCGTCTAATAATCTCAATTTTGCCTCGTAACGGTCTTTCTTAGTTAATAATTAACGGTAAGGCACTGAGAAACATGGAGACGATACCTTACACATCACAAATGATGTCATCTGTAAAAGACCAGTTAAATTCAAACTAAACACCGAGTCCCCGGATGGACTTTCTTTACTTTTATTTCCTAGAACACAAAAACATTAGGGCGAATACCAAAATATATTGTGTAATACAGCAACAGCTAAATAACCGGAAGTTTATTCATGAGTCGATGACAACTATCTGTCGCGTAAGCTGTGAAAAAGCATTCAGCCCACCGTAAATAAAATATCGTCGATGTAAACAATATTTATCGTTTTGTAAGACTGTTTACAGTCAAATAACTGATAGCTTGCTCAACAGAGCAGCTGTTACTTTTTAACAACTCATCGATCTTACTCGGAGCCCCCGGAGAGAACTTTCGAGAAAACACCCCACCCCCCCCCTCAGGAAATTGCCTCCTTTTGGATCTCCCGCCCCTCGGAATTTCCGTTGCCCTCCATGTGTGTGTGTGTGTGTGTGTGTGGGAGGGAGGGGGGGTGGGGTGGGTATGGATATTTTCTGGAACTACACATTCGCTAGTAATAACACCTAATCGCGAACAAAGATCAAAAGTGGCCGTGGGAAATCTGGGTACTAGATAGTATAGCGCCACTCCTTATAATTTCCACGCAAAAGATCCTCTAGTTGTAAGCAAAACTCACATTTCTTTAAGGTTCTTAAGTCCACTGAAAGCGTCTGCTGGGAAGTTTTTCATATCAAGGGAATTATTCCTGAGATCCCTAAAAACCGAAAAAGAAACATTTGGTAACTTGTCAACCTCTAGCTTATACTTTTGATATGATAGCAGCAGTGTTTTAAAATATCCCAATAACGGAACTGCCTTATCTTTGAAACGGATTTGTTTTTTTGAAGTCTTGCGGTGCAAGAAACTTAAAGATTTTATGATAACTCCAACCTGTTATTCATGATGTTTTTGTGCAAGGTCCACTTACAGTTTCTCCAAGGATGACAGCCCAGCAAATGTCTTTGAAGATAACCGCATGATCTGGTTAACATTGAGGTTTCTGAAATCAAAAAAATATTACCATTTCTTTTTTTCTCGCATAGGGAGGATGAAATTCTTACCATGAGAACGTGCAACGGCAAAACAGATTTACCGATTTCGCATCTTTTTTCATGTTTTTTTTTTCGGCCTAGTTGTAAGAAGGGGAATCCAAGACAAAATATGTTTGAGTTCAATAAGTAATGTTTCATAACATAGTTAGAGTATTTGCCCTATCAAAGTCAAAAGCGCGTGGGTGCCTATTCCCATTGAGCGCGCTGATGACCTGAATAAACTATACCCGTACCTGGAGTTCTTGTGAGCTTACCAGTCCTCCCAAGAGCATCCAGAACTCAACAGTACAGGATGTAGCGTTAACCATGTGTTTTATAACTTGAATTTAAGAGAAAACTTTTGAAAATGTTAAACGATAGTAGGAAAAAGAGGCGAGTGTTGTTGTTGTCGTCTGCGCGAGCTGTGCAGGCTATGGCGGGTGCAAATCATTTTTTGCAAAGTTGTTTCTCTCAAAAAGAATTTTTAGGTGAATTAATATTTTTCCGGCACCTCAGTATCGATTATATAACCTTTTAGAATGTTATGTTAAAAGACTTGAGAAAACGTTCTCTCAGTTTCAAGGCCGAGCCTCGAGCAACTCTTACGCGTCTTTCGTGCTCTCCAAACTTCCAGCGTTCTCGATATCTCGACATACGAACGCTGACGCGTGAACTAACTGTTAATTCTTCAGATTAACTTACAATATCTTTAGACTGGATAAACCAAGAAATAAGCCGCCAGGTATCTCTTTCACCGCATTTTGCTGAAGGTATCTACATTGGGTTTTAAATCAAAGCAAAATTAATTAGGAAAAATACTGTTTTACCGCAGCCTGGTTAGCTCAGTTGGGAGAGCTCTGGTCTGCCGAGCGGGAAGTCCAGGGTTCAAATCCCGGCCGGACCAACCCTCAGGGTCTTTAAATAACTGAGAAGAAAGTGTTGTTTTTGTGATGACATCTGCAAATAGTTAGGCTTTCTAGTCTTCTCGGATAAGGGCGAAAAACCGTAGGTCCCGTCTCACAGCACTTTCACTGATTTGTTCTTCTTGGACGTAAAAGAACCCACATCACTATTCGAAAAGAGTAGGGGTCGTAGACCCCGGTGATGCGGCCAACCTTCACGGGTTGTGGGATTGGGCAGGGATGGCACCTCGCATGGGACCTGAGTCCCGTTCGTGCACATTCCCTCTGGGCAGGCCTGTGTCCAGAAAAGCTGGTAAATAAATAAAATTGGCAAAACAAATGCAATACGTATGTATTGTGTTACTCACAGGTGTTGTAAGTTACTCATCGATTTAAATGCGTCCTTTTCAATGCTTTTTATGCGATTTTGCCTAAGGCTCCTAAGAAAAAAACAATGTATCAAACATCCCCAGTCAGAGAAAATGTCGGTCTTAAACCGAGTTTGGCCAGTCTGCTTGTTAGTTTTTTTTATTTTAATGCTCCGTTCGATTACTTACAAAGTAGTCAACGATGCTGACGATGCACTGAATGTGTTCGCCGAAATGGTGTCAATCAAATTAGCGCTGCAGTCCCTTAGAGAAAATAGAAAAAAAGATAGTTTACCGTAAATCCTCTATTAAGCCCCCGGGGGTTCCTTATTTCTCATTGGAGGTTAGGATTAATAGAGACAGGAGGCTTATCGGAGAAGGGGGCGCGGGCTTACTTAATTTAGAAAAGACGATGGTATCAGTACTCCATAAAGAAGAGAGAATATACAAAGTGGAAAAGCTCAAGTACAAGAAGCTAAGGTTGGAGGTCAGGCAGGTCGAGGATCAGAATCAAACCCGATCTTCCAGGTGGTAAATAAATCATCCCCGATCAGTCCACAGTCGTGATTGATTAAAAAAGTCTTACATTTATTACTGAAGAATAATTAGGGGAGGGGAGAGAGGGGGCTTATTAGAGGGAGGGGGATTATTTTAGAAGGGGGAGCTTAATAGAGGATTTACGGTATATTATTTTAAAGACCAAAAAAATAAAAATACTAATAAGCTCACAAAGTCTGAAGATTGTTCATATTGTCCAACATGGCGTTAGGTAAGGCCCGTATGAAATTCGAGTCAAGTTTCCTAAAATGTGAACAATCCTTTGAGATAAGCCAAGAATGGGTGCTATAAATTTATCAATAAGAGAAACTCCCTTAAAGAAAACGTTTAAAGACCATTCCTAATTTTTTAAGGTTTGTAGATTTGAAAAAAGTTGTTGTGGCTACAGGTCAATTGAGTTTTAGTGGAAGCCCAGTTAATGTTTGGGCGCAGTTGTTTAAAAGTTGGATGGATACACTCTTTTTTTATATAAGAATGTTGTTTTTCCGTCCCAGGCAAAATATTCTTATTTTTCTGTCGATTTTAGGCTGAAAATATTCTTAAATTATTCTTAATTATAAATTATAGCTTATAACATTTCCACTTTACATTTGTATTGGGGTTTCAATTGCCATAGTGTTCTGTGTCTAGATCTGTCTCCAGCGCCGTTTAGGGAAAGGAATAATTTTATACGGTTAAGTCAAAACATATAATTGTACTGTATTTACGGGTTTTCAACATACAAAATTGAGACGTCCTTTTCCAATTCTCAGCCTCGGGGTTTATTCTTGAAATATTCTTAAAATTTCACAAATTTTAGCCTCAATTTTCTTATAAAATATAGTTTTACTCTTATGAAAAAAATACTGTAGCGCTATCCACCGGATAAATTACTATCCAGCGGGTAAGTATTAGGGAAACCAATTGAGCCGCTAAATTGGGAAAAACCAATTGGGCAGATTTATCCGTTTGAACAGCTAGGGCATGAACTTAACATTTTAGTGACATTTCAGTTGTTTTCAGTTTTACACTTACAAAGTTTGTAGCACCGATGCATTGCCGAATGCATCTCTTTCAATTCTGAAGATGCGGTTTCCACTTAGGTCCCTGTAGAGATTTTATGTGATATTTTTATAATATTTAAAAAAATAACGAACTGTTTACTCACTAAAAATAAGTGTGAATCAGAAACTTACAAATACTTCAGACTTGACAGATCAGAGAGTTGTTTCTTGGGTAGATTGGATATTTTATTCCTCTGAAATAGTCTGTGGGATTAAAAGCAGTAAAATATAATTTTTCAAGTTTAGTTCTCGGTGAAAATCAGCTATTTACTCAGTAATTGCGGTGCAATTTTATCGTTGGTTTAATTCTAATTTTTCTTTCTTAATTTTTGTGGATTACCCTTAATGAAAGGGGGAAAAATCGATTTAAAGAAAAAAAAAATAGCACACCTTAAGTAAGAAGAGATGACAAACCGATGTTTTGGGTAAAGAGCGAAAAGGCGATCTCAGTAATATTTGTCTTCTATCTTAGAAAAGGCGGAACATTAATATTTACACGGAAAAGATCCTTTTGGATGCGACTGCAAATCAACACCTACTTAAACTATATAGCTAGGTACGATGCGATGAATAAATCAACAAATCCGTGGCCAGAAGTGCTGTGCAAATACGAGTTACTTAACTTCAGGGTGTTGAAAATCGAGAGAAACACTACATCGGATCGGCACTGAGTGTTTGATATTTCATCGTGAACCTTTGAAACGTATTGGAGAAATTTGCAGCCAAATTTTCCAAAACTTAATGTAATTAGTATCATATTCAAATCTCGCTCAGAATGGTAATTTTCTTAGTTTTCTCTTTACAAATTATTGACGAAATTAGCAAACGCAAGCATCAGGGAATCAGCTCACATTACGGCTGCCTTAGAAGGAATTTTCCTTGGGAAAGCAGTCAGTTTCCTTCCCTTCTTCACTGTTATCACCATCTCAAGACTCTTCCGTGAAACTGGATTACACTCGCAACTTGACGGACAACCTTAAACAGTAAAAGGCATTTCATTTATTCTTTGTAATAACATTGTGATTTTTTTTAAAGAGGCGGTAATAACATTGAGCTAACTGCCTGGCGGGGATCTTTATGTAGTTTGTTTCCAGTTTGTTTTTCAATCGCCGATGCCGTTTGTGGTTGACTATTTGTGTTGCGATCAGTTCCGTAGCACGGTGCTCGATATGTTAGAGTAGAGAAATATATATATATATTGAAAAATAGAAAAAAAAAAACTACACTTTTATCCCTTCAAGCCTGTTTCGTGATTGCTCACGGGGACTTTAATGACAAGAATATTCATAACCGTCGTTTTTATACAATAAGATTTACATAAGCAATGATGCGGTTAATTCAAATGATGGAATGTTTAGTTGTTACGTAGCAACGCTTTGTTCCTGCGGCGGCAAGAAGATACGAGTTCATTACGTTTGTTGTAAAAGATGCAATCTCTGCCTTACTGGGCTTTTCACAAACATGCGAATTCTGAAGTTCAAAAGCCAACTGACTATTGCATTTTTCGCTGCCGTCAACCATCTTAACGGACCTCTTAGGAAATAAAACTTTACTTAAACGGGTTCAAAAGGTCAAGGTTTGTGATTTGTGATTGGTGGATTTCGATCCGTTTTGCGTGTTTCTGTGTTTCAAGGTTCGTTGCATATGATCGTAATTATGATTGACGGCAACGAAAAACGCAGTTGTGAAGGCGGCTTTTGAACTTTAGAGTTCGCATGTTTGTGAAAAGCGCAGTAAAGAGAAATTTTTCATACATCTGTCGACCTGGTTTGTCATCACGTGACTTTTACTTTTTTATATTGGGACTGGGAAGCGGGTTTAGGGAGAAGAAATTTTTGGTGCCTACCTTCGTATTGAAAACAAGCTTCTTTATCAATGTCAGCTAAAAAAAGAGAGGAAATGTTAAAAAAGTCATTATTTTTCAGTGTTCTTAATGACTCATAAAAATAAATACTAATGTTACTACCACGCGTAAAAATTAAGGTTTTGTGGTGCTGCAGAATAGAATACAGTAGATATCACTGTGGTTTGATGTTAATATAATTATGGGACGTTGCAATTCCGAAAAAAATATAAAGTCATTCAAATAGATGTAAAACATAATTGAAAATTAAATTTGGAAATGACATTAAACCTTTTGTCCACTTGATAGAACCCATCGTCTTATTTAAAACATTTTACAAAGCGATTACGGTAACAGCCGCTTAAGGACGTTTGCACGAAAATCTTCTAACATTGATTTTTTTTCTGAAACTTTCACCAGTTTGAGGTTATGGGTAACTCATGTCAAAAATATAAAAAAATTGGGGGGTCACCTAATTCGTTTCGGAGATATGATGTTCAAAAGATCACCCAAAATCTGAGAAATCGGGCTTCGTTACTGCATACGGATAAAGTGCCTGTCTGTGCAAAAAGTTTATAAATAAATCCCTGAGTTGAAATTTTATCCGCCAATTATTGTTCTTGTGGATCCATAAACAAAATTCGGTGAACTAAGGAAATGGTCAAAAAGTATTGGGGGGTGTGCCGGAGAATTTGGAAATGTGGTTGATAAAAAACACATGACCCACCCCCTCCCTTCGGCACAAAAATGACTGACCCACCCCTAAAGTAAGGTTGGAAATTGCATGACCCACCCCCTAGTTAAAACATGGATGTTTGGTTTCCTCTTAATAATCCAATAAAACCTTGTTCTGTGCTTGACAAAATTTGTTGATATACTGCTACAACCAATATCAAAATCACAGAAATCATACATTTCACTGAAAAGACAAATGTGAAAAACCCAACTTTCCTTGTTTCGATGGACGCTATGAGTCTTGACACAAATATACAGCAAAACGAGGGTATATTGAAATTGTCTGTCACAAAGCATATGAAAATTTCTACAAAGGCAACCCATTCCTACACATTACTTGCTGGAAATGCTTAGATTAATCGATCCTCAAAGAAAATTTCTTCCACTTCAATGGAAAGGACTACCTACAAAACCATGGAACTGCAATGGGCACAAAGACAGCAGATTTGATTCCTTTACCAATATTTTCATGACATACATTGAAACAACAACTCTAAGCAAAACTGTCTTTAGAACAACAGTTTGGAAATGCTACATACACGATATCTTTGCCCTATGGGACATGAGTAAACCAGACATCGAAGCCTTCATTGAACAAGCAAACTTACATCACCCAACTATTGAATTCACGGCCGAAACATTTGACACTGAGACTGCGTTTTTAGACACGGTTGTATACAAAGGCACAAGATTCAAGGAAAAATCTATCCTTGATGCAAAGACACATTTTTAACAAACGTAAACCTTCTTGCACACACATTTCACCTCGTGTCACCCTCCAGATGTTAAAAAAGGATTTGTCAAAGGAGAAGCCTTGAGAATTCTACAAAAAAAACTCCTCAGAAACAACCTTTGAGAAAAATAATTCAAATTTAAAAAGTAACACTTGATGGACGGGGGCTATTTACAATCTTTGAGAGAAAACATACTATCAGAAATAAAATTCACAAAATGGAGTCTAAACTCCTAAAACAAAACAACAACGAGGAAAAAGAAATATTGCCATTCGTGACACAATACCAGCCCTCAGTGTCTACTATAAAGGAAGCTTGAATGAAAAAATGGAATATTATACAAAACCAACTGTAACCTCAATAAATTTTTAAAGAACCACCAATCATTTCCTTACAAAAAAGGAAAATCATTAAAGGACATGCTCGTAAGAGCCAAAAAAAAAAGGTTAAGGGTTCCACGCCCGTATAGATGTACGGCCTGTCACCCTTTTGTACTTTCTCGCACAACAGGTTTGTGAGTATTTTAGCAATAATTCCAGCTGGCTGTGTTTTATATAACAAGTGTAGTCAACTGTCTCGTTAGTAGTTAGTGCCTATCTATGTAATAAAATAGGGTGACCCACCCCCTAAGGGTAGCTGAAAATTGCACGACCCACCCCTTGCACAAGGCGCAAAACCTCATGACCTACCCCCTCTCTGCTCCGGCCCACCCCCTCTATACTTTTTGACCAGTCCCTAAAAAACTTCCTCAGAGTTGATTTTATCATTTAGCGGACACATTTCTACTCTCCTAACAGTCGCACGAATGCCAAAATTCGACGCCACGTACACAGAAAAATTGGAAATTTTTTACCTTCCCACATTGATTTTTTGTTCAGTTTTTCACAATCTATCGGAAAGTGGAAGAGGAAGTGGTCTACCGCAAAAAAATGGGGTGTCACCGACCATTTAAGAAAGTAAATTGCAAGGGAATTTAGCGCAACGGCTACCAGCCCTATATGTGCTTAGACAGTTGCTTAGTCTCAGCGCTCGCTCGATGCATGACGTGGCGTGATATTACGCTATGAATTACGTGCTCAGTAGGGATACGCAGAAACAATTAGCCCCAACGTCCTTAAATAGCCGATTACTATACTTTAATTCTCAAAATGGACGTCAACATAAAGGATTTGTATGGGAATTCAGGTAATAGATTCGAGAAGATAAATACTCGCAGGAATTTTCAAAAAAATACTCTCTACCTTATTTACTTGGTGTCTTCTTGCTGCCTGTGTGGTTACTCTCCCGATCCATTGCGATTTCAGCGATTTCCTTAATCCCGAGTTTTCACTCCTTTTAGTTTATTAGTGGAAATAAACTCGGGATAAAGGAAATCGCTTAAATCGCAAGGGATAGGGAAAATAAACATACAGGAAGCAAGAAGAAACCAAGTAAATAAGGTAGAGCGTATTTTTTTGAAAATGTCCGCGAGTATTAAACTTCTCAAATCTATTGCCTGAATTCCCATACAACTCCTTTACGTTGACGGCCATTTTGAATCATGCAACCACGCGTAGTCTTATATTGCAGAGCTTGGGCCGCCTGTGATTACTAGCAATTACTGTTAATATAGCCATGTACCTTAACCCTTAAGGGATGATGAATCAATTTTAAGCCTTTTAATAGCAATTCCTCACCTTTCTTTGAGGTATAGTGTAGTTTGAAACCTAACCCGGTAATTTTGTCGTTGCTCTCGAACGTTATCACCATAACATTTGAAGATGATTCAACGAAAGCTGGAAATCTTTCTCCGCAGTATCTTCCCAAAAACTTTCTGGTCTCAAGTCCACTATATATCTCTAGGGAGTCTCTAAAGCAGGAAGGATGATCTTCCAATTGGAATTCCAGGAATCGCAGTTTTATGGTGTTTCCGTGAGGAACATTGATGGTCCACCGGCAACGCGTCAGCGGTGGATAATACCCAGGATGGTGTGGGGATAAAATTATGCCTGACATTGTGGTAAAGTTTTTGTTGCATTCTGAAAAAGAAAGTTAATTCATAGTCATTAAAACAAAGTTAACGGACATCAGTAGACTGTTCCAGGCGGTCAGATGGTTTCTTCCGCGCTCTACTATCTGAACGCCTGGAACAGGCTAGGACATTAGTCACTATAGTCGTAAGGAAAAATAAGGTTGTGTAACAGTGTCAGAATTATGGAAATCATTTTCGTATTATTGTTTTTATTTCTGCCACCAGACTTAACTTACCGGAAAAATCTCTATTGTAAAAAAGGAACCCCATTATAGTCAACCCAGTTGCGAAAGTGCGACCCCCTCCAGCGTCAAATCCCCATTAGCCTAGAGGTACCGACCGCGGGTCTTCCACATAAAATTTTGACATATTTAAAACCGCATATTTTGTTACCGGGATTCGTTTGGACGGGGCCTCTACAATCTCTGTGGCGCGGTTTTAAAAGGATGCGATTTTGGTAAGCGGATTAAGTGGTTTCCTGTGGACAGAAGGCCGATTTGTGTAAAAAAAAAATTGACACTTTAAAACTATCCGGATTCTTGAGGACGTGTCCCAAGCTAAACAACACTGCACCTTTAGTTGCCGTAAAGGGCAATGGATGACAGTATCCTGGAACCACGTGAACACCTCTGACACTTATATAACCAGGTTCACTGCCCAAATCTGCTTCCAGAGATACCTGCAGAAGTATAGGTTGGTATTCCATTACTGTTGAAATTCAGTTGTTGTAAAGGAGAATGAAAAAAAGATTATGGCGACCGATTAGTTGACTTTAACGATTTAAAATGAGATAATTTAAAAAGGGAAAAAACTTTGTTTTCTGAGTAAAAATGTCAGTCAGTCTTTGCAATAGTCCTCTTTAACTTGCACGTTTTTTTCTCAATTTAGCTCATGTGATAATACTCCAGAGAACTGTTTCTTTCAAATTTTGTCTCATCCACCACCTGAGGACTTAAGAAAATCATGTTAGTATATTCGTTCTTAATTATTTGTTATATTTAATTTACCGAAAGATTATTTATACTTTATTTAGCTGACGCGGTTTACTTGTAATATTGGTGCTGAAAGGGAGAAAATTGGGAGAAAATATGTGTGGATGTGTGTGTGTGTGTGTGTGTGTGTGTGTGTGTGTGTATGTGTGTGTGTGTGTATGTATGTGTGTGTGTATGTATTCACGTACATATGTGAGCATGATTAATAAAAAGAAAAAGGGCCAAATGCCCCCTACGACTTCCTTGTGAAAACACAACAAAGAGGTTATGTGGTGACTTGTTTTTCATTACCTTGTATTTTGTAACACTCGGAAGTGCGACTCTTCCGTATTTCCATATCAGATCAGTGTTGTTTGACTCGCTCACTGCCCACACCAGCCTCCGCGGGTAGTCAGTTAAATTCAGTTGTTGGTATATACGAAGGAAGTGTCTCCCGGGGCCGTAGACGAGATATCTGAACCGTACACAGATATTGTGACCCTCATAAGATCGTTCATACAGTGGACTCTCGAAAAAGGATGTTTGAGATGGTTGTGACGTGTTGTTATTAAACACCATGAAGCGGTATCCTTTGTTGGAGAAAAAATTTAAAAAGTTGAGAAATAGAGATTTGACCTCATAACTAAGAATGAAGTATAGCCATTCACGCGCTTTAAAAATAAAAAAAAAACTTACAGAAATAATCAAGGAACAAAACATCTAATTTTAACATATTTTTTCAAACGTTTTGTGAAAAAAAAAACATCAAAATTATCATGAAAATTAAATGATTAACCTGAGAGCAAGCTCTCCTTTTGAGGGATTTCGTGAAAAGTCATGAGCACCCCCCTCGCTTGCTTGCGCGTTCTCGAGTGGCTCGCTTCGCCCACCCAAATGGAGAGCTAGCATTTTAAAGTCATGTTTTTTTCTCAAATCAAACGCTAAAAGGCCTGTTTCACACTAACAGTTATAATATAATTAATGAAATGTTGCTGAATTAAGTGTAATGTTAAAATTCACTATGTAAAAAAAAAATCAATCCTTTTTATAGGAAAAAAGCAAACTTTCAAAAACATGACTGTCAAAACTCGGTTGCCGTGGTAACGTCAATGTTGACGTACCCGTCATGACGACTTTAAAATGTTCCCAGATAATTTTAAAGCAAAGTCGCCGCGTGTTGGTGGTTATACCTTGAACGGTTCTGAAGTTATTCAACTTTTTAGCTAGAGGGGGGCTCCAAAAGCGCCCCGGTCTGAATAGGGTTAAAGGTAATAAATTACACTATAGCATGCTCATGATATGTGGTTTCTTGCGACACCACTGCGTACGTCACCTTCACGATCTGTACACAATGCAGGTTTTTCGTCTTTCACGTCCCCAACAAAGCCTTTAATAAACTGCGACCAGGGGTAGATCGCATGCGAAAAGTCTTTGCCACAACCGTGCGACATCCATTCTATCTCCTCTCTATCAAGGGCTTTTTTAAAGATGTTAACATGGCTTATCAGACCAATATACTGTCCAGCTTGGGGATCTTCTTTTGCCAAATCCTCTGTCAGGCCAATAATAAATTCACCTCCTCCTGTCGAACATGAAGTGGCAGTAAGATTTTTGAAAGCATCGTTTACTTTCTCGCTCGGAGAATATTTCTTTTATCTCCCAGATTATGACGAAAATATGTTTTGCCTCGTTCTTAGAGATAAATGTTATAAATAGGTACTTCTTCCGAAAAGTCACCTTTCATTCTTCAACTTCCGATATAGATGTTTTCTAAGCAATTTCGAAGAAATCTTCCAGTAATTCAGTTTTTGTCGTGAAATACGAGGCACGAGCGAAGTAGAAGTCGGGTTATTAAGTTTCAGGTTCTAATCAGTACAACAAAGCCATAAGATGACAGCTGTGCCTACCAGGAATCTTTTCTCCCTCAGAAAGTTTCGTTTCTAGGAGTATTGACAAGCCGTTATGTAAAGTGAACTTTCCGCCTTCAGAAGTCCATACCAAACAAATATGATGCCACTTGCCGTTATTTGCTGCTGAGTCCGTTTTGGCCCTAGAAAAAAGGCAACATTACTGCGATATTTTATGGACGATAAGAACAAACAAAATAGAAATTGCACTGACTGTTAAGAAGAGGTTAAATAAATAGAAATAAAGTACACCTACGACTTTTCCTCGCCTATATAAACACCGAATCCTCGATAGTCTACAAGTGCAATAGCAGGGATGTATTTTCCGTTAGTTTCATATCGGACTCTGTACCATATGGGAGTCCCTGCACTCGTATTATCGGAAGTCTTCATCCAGAAACAGATCGTGAAAGCAATGAGATCTGGAAGATCAGTTATGTTGACATGTCCATTGTGATTTTCAACGAAGTCCAGTTGGTAGTTACTGTCCTTCATAAAGCCTATAGAAAGATAACGTCCAGATTAAGCCCATTTGCAAGAGTACTTTTATATTTCCTATTCACAGTGAAGCTTGCGATACATACAGTACATAAAAGCTAGTAGTAATCGTAGATTAATAAGTGTGCGTTCGAGTTTTCTTAGCTCCAGATTAGCTTTTATGCCGTCGAGCATTATTCAAAAAGGGAAACTTAGATCTTTTTTTTTTACAGAGTTAACATTCAGAGTAGTGTAAGGCCCCGTCCACATGTATCCGGAAATTGTTTCTTTCTGGATTCGCGCTTCCGTCCACACGTATCATCAGGTGAATCCGACATAAGAATCCGCAACTTTTTAAATCCGTTCTCCAGGGTGGCAATTTCTGAATATGCTATGAATCCGGAATCGTGTGGACGCTAAATCTGGATATTTTTTTTTTTACCTAGTGACGTAACAAGATCGAGCCCAGTTTTAAACCGTGAATATTCAAGATGGTACTGAGAGCAATGTTATCGCTTCTTTACTTCTGGGACTTCAGCTTCAAGTCTAAATAACGTGTGTGCAGTTAAACCTACGATCATGGACAAACGTCTTGGGACAGTTGTACAGTTCGAACGCTTTTTAACACACGCAATCAATCAATCAATCAATCAACTTTATTTAAACACGGTAAATGGCTCAGCAAGCTGGTTTTCAGACATGCCGTGTGATAATTACAATTTATAAATATTAAGACTAGTGATTAACTAACAATACAATATAACAGCAAGAAATGAGTATTAGAAATAAGATAAAAACATGATAAAAGTTATATCCTAAGATATGGCGAGTTTAAAGATAGTAAGATCCCCCATCTCACGTGTTTCATTTGACAGTTGGCTCACGCGAAATTGTATCCGCGTGCTACTAGCACTGTACGTCCCTACCCCCTCCCCCCACCCCCAAAACAGTGTTGAAACCGTCAAGGCACAATTCCTTTGATCTTTCAACATTTTATTGGGCGGGGAGGGGGGAGGGGACATGGATTTGTAAAAAGACAGCACTGCTTTTTGCGACAGAACTTGTGAAACGCATAGAATTGAAGTTGCGTTCTGACTGTCCCAAGGACTTTTGTCCATGATTGTAGCTATGATTACTGTACACTTCAATTATGCTAAACGGCGGCTGGACATTCTGAGGCTTCTTTCCATGTCGGACGAATGAATTGGACGCCGTAAGCAACTTAACCCTAAATAAATGTCTTCAAAAGTTTTTTTTGTCGGGAAGAAAACGCGACGGCCGTGCGGTCATTGCGCGGCAAAATTGTTATCGTTAGCAAGAGTAAATGAGTTAAAAATCATCATTTTTGAGCTCAATTATCTCACTGTTTTAGTATATACTAAAACAATTATTCACCTCATTGTCGGTGGCTAGTGATGGATATTTACCTCGCCGCTTCGCAGCTCGGAACACCACTAGCCACCTCCACTTCGGTGAATAATTGTTATATATTAAATTAGCTGACTAACTGAGAGTGAATCCGGATACGTGTGGACGGGCAAATTCGATTTGAATACCCTACGCTTGGACGTGGAAATTGCGGATTCAAAAATGTTCGGATACCTGTAGAGGGGGCCTAAAATGCAGACCGCGGACTGACTGCGGACTATCGTTTCGTCAGGTTTAGAAAACAATGGGACCATTGTTCTCACGTTCTCATTTGCATGGTGAAAACAATAGTCCGTAGTCTGCGTTTTACTCTCCCTCAAATGGTCGATAAAAATGTAAAGTAGACCGACTGTAAAAAGTTTTATTTTGTTAAAAAGATAAACATCTTACTACAAACTTCAAAAGCATGATAGCCTCGATTTCAAAGGTTATATTCCTGGCTTCTTACGTGACACAACTTGGAGTGAAAGTAATGATCATAGGAGGGACAAAAACCTTTGCTAGATTACAGATGACAGTGAATCGGACAAAATCTTTTGCTATTGTGCGAACTGTTCATCTTCATTATTTCATGTAGGTCAGTTCATATCATGTTTTAAACTTATCTTACTTGAGAAGACATAATCAGACTCGGATAAAGTATTACCTGAATAATAAACATAATCACTGATACGCGGGTAAAATCCTTCAAACGTACTTTATCCCAAATGCTTTTTTTTTGGCGTGTAAGAGGTAAAACTACAAATGTATAAATAGACTCAAACTCACGGGTAAATTTCTAACGGCAAAGATGTTACCTGGTCTTTATTTATGTCTTTCTACGATGTTTCAGCTCCATTTGAACGGCACATTGACCGAGACAGGTGTAGCAGAACAGCTCAGCCATGAAACCCGCTCAGACAACAAATCCAAAGTTCATTCTTTTGCCGAACTTAAGTATCTCCCTGCTTTTGACATGGTGAAATCACCTTGTTGAATTTATGAACCAGTGAGATTCACGTTATTACCATTTGCTTATATGACGTAAATATCGCGATCTTAATTATTCAAAATGGGGCAGAAAATGCAGACGCACGACAAAAAACGTAGCCTGTCTACAGACGCCCCCCTCCCCTTTCTGAGGGGAGGGGGCGTCTCTACACAGGCTACAAAAAACGCTTGCTGAAAAGAAGGCACTTGAGTACCACAGGATACCCAAGTACCACAGGGATTTTCGAGATTATGTGTTGCGTCATCCTAACGTCGAACGCAATAATTTGATACCTACCACCTAGGCTTTCATAACAACACAAAGGTCTATCAAAAAAAAAAACATTGAAAATTAAAGGGAATAAAATGTCCCCATTTTTAACAACCTCTTTTTGAATTTCTCCCTTTGCTTTTCAAATACGATTTAACTTGCTTGGTAGAGGCTTCCATATCCAGACGCACTGCTTGTTTCCAGGGTGAGACACTTTGGTTAGAATTTTTCCATCCACATAAACCTTGGTAAAACTGAGAACATCCAGTGATCCCTAGAAAAGAGTTGAAGAGAGAGGGATTCGAAGAATTTGACAGCAAGACAGTATCCAGTATAAATATAAACAGTATGATCTACCGAACAAATGTAGAACATTCTTGTAAATTGATGAATCAAAGAGGCCCTATTGAGGGAGAAGGGGGTCTTGTTATCCCCTATCCCTTAAATTGTTTGTCCAGTTATCCCTTATCCCTAAAACACCTAACAGGGCCTCAATGATTGATGGATTGACTGATAATCAATAATTTTTAAGGCAAAATATACCAACAACATCAACAAAATTATTGAGAGCTTGGGAACACAAATGTCCGAAGTCTAGAAAAGATCAGGGAATCATTGTTAACAAAGAAAACTGTAGAAAGAGATTAATGATTTACTAGCACGGAAATAAATCGAGAGCAATTACCTACTAGAACACCTTGGTCACCTAGTTGAGTGGTGCTGGCGTCTTGATTGATTTAGCTCCACACCACAAGTCTTCCGATTCCACACCTGTACATGCATTGTGCATTCTTGTAAACGAAGGGAAACTCGCAACACCCTCCATCAGTCGTACTAGTAACAGAGGCTCCGCTAAGCGTGCATCGCGCGCTTGGACGCTCCGCCATTAACTACTGCTAGTAAAATTTGTATATCAATACGCCTGTAGCCGCAATGCAAAATACAGAACTTACTGTAAAGGGTAAAAGCTTCCCACGTCGTAAGTGGCCGCAAGAAGACCATCAGATCCCTCAGCGAGCCACGGGTTTTTTTCATTTGGTCCTTTTTGAGACCAAGCTCATGTGTCGTGTGATATGTCGGATTGAGGTCAATATCGTGTCCTGTATACTGCTTTTTTCCTGCGTACGCACCATTCAGGTACAACTTTCCTATTCGGGTAGAGCGATCCCAGACAAATACCACGTGTGTCCAGATTTTTGCATGAACGTCTCTAAAATATAATAGTAAATCAATATAGCTTACAATCATTTAAATCCGAATGCATTGATATACGTCCTACTCGAGACTACTTCTATACCACCATAATATTCATGTTGAATTTTTCCCAGGATCACCCTATTAAGAGCTACAATTAAATATGGAAAAGGCAAATAATTCGTCCCATTTAAAGTCTATCAACAATCGAAGAAAAATCGTGACAGTTAAATACGGTGAGAACCGAGAGTGACAGTGGACTTTGTTAGACGGAACACTCGCAGTAACACTGATTCCATCACTCAGACCAACGTAATCTCTGGCCCTGTTACGACAGGTCATTACAGGGAAATAACGCCCGCTTAGCAGCTAATCAGAGCGCCCGTGATATTGTAGCCATATAATAAATGCCCAGTAATCTTCTGATGGGCACGCAGCACAGTTGTTGCTGCCGTGTTATCGTCTATCATAAGGTTACTCCTCACTCCCCGGTATTCAATAACAGGTGGAAAAGAAGCCATGTAAAAAGTCGTGAGAACGCGTTTTCACTCACCGATTGCTCGCCATAGAAAGCAAATCCCGCTCTACACCACTTCGTCTCAATTGCACGTAAACTTTTCTGTAATGCACATACAGTCTAAACTGCCATGGTGATGACCAATCTGATATGAGATGTCCTTGACTCTTTGAATCGCGGACGTTAAATCGAAGGGCGATTGAAAAGCTGCTCTTGCTGAAATTGATTGCAGGAATTTCTGCGTAACCAGATATTCCGTCAAGATGCAACGATTTAATTCCTCCATTAGTTTGGTATGAAGCAGTACCTTCCAATCTAAAATCATATGGGATAATGTAGGTTTCTTAGCTTGGCCAGAGTTTTTAGCGCATGACATATTTCGATACTCAGAGAAACAAAATGTAATGACTTAGTAAGGAAGCTGAACACAGTTTTGTGGGACGTCAGCGGTAACTCGCGTGACGGCGCGTGTTTTAATAGTGCTGCGCGCAGTTACTGTTTATAGACCAGAAACTCAGACAAACAAACTGAAATTAACATTAGCGAATTCCTCATTTTTATCCGACTTTTGTCATTAAAATGTCATGTTTGTCTGTGTTTTGTCATTAAAACAAGAAAAATGACAAAACTCAGGCAAAAATTGAAAATCAGTCACTTGGACGTCATTCGCTCGCTACGCTATTAGACAAACAAACATGGAGGCGAAAAAAGCACTGGTACACAGAAGACGATTTCTCAAAATCTGCTCATTAAAATTTTGTGATATTTGGCAGAATTTTTACTTTTATCGTATTTTGAATAATGATAAATTTAAAATAGAAGTTGAACACACGATTTTTGTGAGAAATTTAATAATTACAGTACAATTATAATATTGATTATCTGAAAACCCGTCTGTTCAAATTTGGTCAGATAAGTTTCAAATGGTAATGATTAATTATAATAAGCTGTGTGCAAGTTTATAGGAAAATCAAATGAGCTTATTCTATGCAAACTGAGCAAAAGCGAAATTTTAAGGTTGTATTCAATCGTTCGTGTTGCCATGGAAACTACGATCAAAATCTTTCATCAGTATATTTTTCACTTGCCAAGTTTCAGCTTGTGAGCTGTAACCTTTCTCTTGCCATGATTTGGCAAATGACATATACTCTCAAACTGCCAAAATTGTGTTCAGCCACCTTAAGTAGCAACTGCGATTACATTTGTAAGGAGAGATCTCCCATGTATTCTATATTTGATTCGAATTTCGTATCTAGCTTTTAAATATTCCCTTTGAAGTTGTGTTAGCCATAATTTACATTGAATTTGCATTGAGTTGTTTTAGTTCCCTTAAGTTATACACATTTTACTTCAATGTTTACTTCTAAAAGGATAATTTGTTTCTGGATAATTATTATAACTTAGTGACTGAATAACTGGATCTTTAGCCTGTTCAAATACCAACCGTTCAGTCGTAGTTTTTAGTTTTGACATTTTAGGGAATCCTGAGCAAAGGAGACTTGAATTCCTTTACACAGCTTTCTTTGTAGGTTTCCTAAATTCACTTGCTTGACTGACATTTAACATATGAACTTTAAACCTGAATTTATCCAGATTTGTTTTTGCTGTTCAGCTGATTTTATTCAGCCTTCTTTCCGTTTGTTTTGAGATGTTGTAATAAGTTGATCGCTTAGTGCAAATATAGCACTGTTATTCCTGTTTTTCGATTTACATTGCGGATTTATATGCTTGTACGATTTCATTGCGGAGTCCTATGCTTGTACTATTTTTCATCGCGGATTTATTTGACGTTCACGAACTGAAGATTAAACTGTTGAAGTCCAAGTTTGAGTCCTGTCCTGTTTCCAGTTGTAGCAGATCCTAGTACCTTGGAATAGTGACACCTTCCTTTCCCGCTAGCCAAGCGAGTTGCAGAGTTAGTTTTACCCCTCGTTGTTCTTACGCCGAAGTCGCTCGAGTTCTCTTTACGCTTATTTCCCCGATTTGTGCTTGGAAGGGCAAAAACGTATCGTCACAGTGGTTAGAGAAACAGTGCAACTTCAACTGGGACACTTAAGGACAAGCAAGAAGAAAGCAGTTACGACAAGCTTAATGGTTCGTAGCCAGGCTATGTAAATCCCTTGGAGCGCTGATGAAAAGCTTTAGTCGCCCAAGTACTCGAGTAACACCTATTTGTTGACCTATATGCATTCTGTGAAGAAAGTGAAGAAAGTATTAACGAAGACTTTGCCAAGATATTGTTTGAGAGGCCGCAAGCGCTACGCTCCCCTTTTCAAGCCTGTTGTGTCCGTAGCAAACCAAGAAACATAAGCCGATTCATCCGACGAGGACCATGAAGCTTTATTTGCCGAGTTACCTTTTCATTTTCTTTCAAGTCCCGAAAACGACACCGAAGTTGAAGAGCACATAAATCCGAGTCCAAGTTATACGTATCCAATCCCACAAGTTCCAGAGATATCCCGAGTTCAACCGCATTCTGTACCCCCACCCAAGGCGTAGTTACAGATTTTGATCTCCGAGATATCAGCATCGATAGCGACGACGACTCCTTTGTGTGAAGAGTTAACCCTAACCAAAATCATTCCGCGAAGCAGTAAAGATGGCCCGTCTTGCGTGCTCTTCTGAAAATACTGTGAACACATCCCCAGAAAACAGTGTAGCAGCTCAGATAGAAAATTTGTCACAGACTGTGAAGTCCTTATTGTCGGCAGGCGTTACGCAGAATACTCAGTGCTCTACAGACGACAAAAAGCTCCTCACTGTCATTGAACAGAATAATGCTCTGTTAGCTAACTTGAGCACTGCCCTTGGCAAACAAGGTGAAACCACAGAACCTCCGCGGGTCAAATTTACTCAACAAAATAATGCAACGACCGCGCTGGCTGCTCTCAATAACGAGGCTTTCATTGGAAAAAGTGAGTTTCAAGAACTGAAAAACCTCTTGTTGGAGAAACTTGACTGGCTCGAAGAAATCAAGACCAGCGCGGAGAAATACCACGTCAAAGGACAAGAGAGGGACAGCCACGCTGTTTTACCTGTGGACGAACTGGCCATCTTGCAATCAACTGCCCGAACGCAGAGAGCCAAGCCCTCAACTACTGCCTCAAGAATCATTTCCCGCTCGCAGACCTAATTATCAGGCACATTCCAGTTATAATCAACCACGAGATAATTATCGAAATTCGCCACAGCTACACCGACGTGATCTGATCGTAGCAGCACTTGATGAACACTCATCCAATGAAGATTTCATTGCAGAACTGGAGCGAAATACGAGCAGCCAAGTATCTAATGATTCACAAGAACTCTTCCACAAAAATGGCAAAATAATGCAAAAGGCGAGTGTCAATATCATTTCTATTTTAAGCTGTAATGTTCTCCAAACAAAAGTCTCGAAACTCTGAAAATTTGCATAGGAGATTAACACCTCGCCCACCACCATTGTCAGGCCAAAGAAATCAAACGTTTCAGTACATGAAGCCCACTGCCAAACGCAAAACTCAACCACACCTTGGTCACGTTCCAGGACCTGCGAGAACACCAGAAAGTAATGTGGAAAATATTCAAGAAGAAATCAAATTCTATTTATCCTCAGCTCTAGAGCTGTTTGGGCAACTACCAAGTAGACCCAAAACAACAGGACATCCCGGTACTCAGTCTAACGGAGCCCAGACCTTTCGTGTTGTAGTCCCTCACGGCACCCCACAGTTACCACGTCCTCTAGTTAAATTCCCGTCTCTAAGTGTTCCCAACAGCGACAAGCTCCCTTCATTTTCAGCCAAACATGCTGAAGAGATTCCAAGTGATGTAGAACAATCCTTGTTTCATGAACCCTCCAAGTTCACGATAAACGGTCAAGTCAATAGTTCACCTCAACCACAGCAAGTTATTGGGTTACAGAATAATGACGACACTTTGAAGCAGTCTCCTTCATTAGAAGAGCATCACACCAATGTCATACCAAGTTCCTTTTGTCCCGTCCCAGTCAGCTCTCAGTCTCACAGTCAGTCATCTCCGCTCCAGAGTAGTAGTAACATTGTCAAAGAAAGTTCACAGGCTAAGCCTAGAGATCTGACCGTCAGTGCACAATTGAATGGACAAAGCATTAAAGCACTTGTTGACACCGGAGCCACAATTAGCGTAATCGACAAAGAAGTCCTGAAAGACGTCTACAAGGAACAATTTCCTAAACTCCAGACTGACAACGTAGATGTGAAAACCGTGAGTTGCAAAGCTTTGCCTGTCCTGGGTATGTTCACGACCGCTTTAGACATCGCCAATGGAAGTTACTCATGCATCTTCCTAGTAGATCAAGATCTCTCTTATGATGCTGTTCTAGGAAGAGATTTCCTGCGAGAAAATGGAGCCATTATCAATCTAAAGGAGAGTACCTTACGGTTGGATGGCAAAGGAGATGAACCTTACCCAGAGAGAGAATTAGTACAAGGCCTGACTTGCGATTAAAGCCCCGTCCTGCCAACACGTGGTAAAGAATTCACTGAGGAACATTCTGCCACAGAGAAAACTCCTATTAAGCAAAGCAGAGCCTCGAGAAAACGTGCCCTACCCCCAGCTTTCATAGGAACGTTATTCTTCCCATCAGCCTCTGACGACACAAATGTGCCCAACAAAAGTTATCGCCGTTCCCAGCAGATTCCCGCAACTCGCCATAGTGGAAAGACGAATATTTCTCGGTTATTGATCCGTCAATCCTTTTTGACTACGCTTTTTATCGCTTTATACCTACTGACTGCAACAAACGCATCGGTGCCTAACCAAAACGTTTACAGTTCAGATGACTTCACGGATATCTGCCGTACCAGAGCGAGCTTTCGACATAAGAAAGGCTGCCGGTGTATCCATTCAAGTGTGCCACACAAACAAAAAGAGCACTATAAAATTGGAAAAGCAAATGGTGAATCTCAGACCATGCGAGACCCGCCTCAGCAAGTCCAGCAGATAAGTACAAGACAGTTTCCACCTATGACGTCAACTGATGACGATTTTCCAGACAGAACAGTTTATGAAGTTCCCCGAAGCAATTCTACACTAAACCACGAATTCCTGTCACAAGAGAGGTCTTACGTAAATCCATGCATTGCACAGCGCCGTGAGCACCGTTCAGAGAAGGATACAACGAGTGCCTTTCCGTACTTAAAGCAGCCACCGTCACACCCAAGGAACTTTATTTTAGGTTTTTAGTATTTTTGTACGAAAGCAAAAGAAAAAGAAAAAAAAAGAATCCGTCCCAGGTAATCATCTTATAGTTACATAGTTCGCAGACAGAATACGAAAAAGAGATTGATAGGAATTGCAATATTGTCATGATACTCATTGACGTTTAAGTACCGTTTAGTCCACTTCATATTAAGTTTTGCCTCAAACATATGCCTTAGAGAGAGAAAAGTTCACAAGCAATTTTTGTCAGATCAGAGTGAGATCAAAGTTCATAGTTCTATTATTTTATCAAGTTACGAAATTGAAGCTATTTTTGTTACGTGCCCCAAGTACTCTTTAGTTCAGTTTTCTTCGACGAGGACGTCGAAATTTTTTAAGGTGGGAGGAATGTAAGGAGAGATCTTCCATGTATTCTTTATTTGATTCGAATTTCATATCTAGCTTTTAAATATTCCCTTTGAAGTTGTGTTAGCCATAATTTACATTGAATTTGCATTGAGTTGTTTTAGTTCCCTTAAATTATACACATTTTACTTCAATGTTAACTTTTAAAAGGATAATTTGTTTCTGGATAATTATTATAACTTAGTGACTGAATAACTGGATCTTTCGCCTGTTCAAATACCAACCGTTCAGTCGTAGTTTTTAGTTTTGACATTTTAGGGAATCCTGAGCAAAGGAAACTCGAATTCTTTTACACAGCTTTCTTTGTAGGTTTCCTAAATTCACTTGCTTGACTGACATTTAACATATGAACTTTAAACCTGAATTTATCCAGATTTGTTTTTGCTGTTCAGCTGATTTTATTCAGCCTTCTTTCCGTTTGTTTTGAGATGTTGTAATAAGTTGATCGCTTAGTGCAAATATAGCACTGTTATTCCTGTTTTTCGATTTACATTGCGGATTTATATGCTTGTACGATTTCATTGCGGAGTCCTATGCTTGTACTATTTTTCATCGCGGATTTATTTGACGTTCACGAACTGAAGATTAAACTGTTGAAGTCCAAGTTTGAGTCCTGTCCTGTTTCCAGTTGTAGCAGATCCTAGTACCTTGGAATAGTGACACCTTCCTTTCCCGCTAGCCAAGCGAGTTGCAGAGTTAGTTTTACCCGTTGTTGTTCTTACGCCGAAGTCACTCGAGTTCTCTTTACTCTTATTTCCCCGATTTGTACTTGGAAGGGCAAAAACTATCGTCACACATTTCTGTTCTATGTTTAAACTTTCTGGTGGAGCCCCCATCTTCTGAATATTCTACACTAGCCCAAATTAAACGATTTGTTTGAAGTATGCTGGTGTAAATTCTGTACCTACGCGTCCTTTAAACCGTTTGCGTGTTTTTGGTGCTCACAATGAAAGTCGTGTTGTGCATTTAGTATCGCAAGTTTTAATTTTATACTCAAAGGGCAGTGAGGCTATTCTAATCTAAAGCATACCTTACATCTTTGTCGCTTCCGTCTAGTTTCCAGAAATATTGTGTTTTGAGGGGATTTTTTCCATATTCTGGAACAAATGTCACTTTTAAGAACAAAGACAAATTGAAACGGCATACGTTTAGTTACTGTGTACGTAAATATTCATAGGAGCTGGGGACCAACAAGGTAACATTAGTTTACTTGGCCACGCTTGGCCACTAGACACCAAAATTTATATTCCAACAAGTAATAATAAACAGCAACAGAAAAAGGAAAATTGTACCAGGAAATGTAATGTGTGAAAGGTGCGAATAAAGTGTGTGATATTCTTGATTAACTGGTACATTTCTATGGTGGTGTTTAAGAAACTATTTACAAAAAGGGCTTTTTTACTTAGTAATCGACAGGATGTACTTTTAGGAATTCAGAATCTTATTTTAACTGAACAATGCTCCTTAGAAAATATTTACACTGATAAAGATCATAATGCATTGGGCTATTGAAAAATATCAGCCGCGCTGAAATTGACCGGGATTTTAAAAGTCTTGTTTTTCTTACCATTTAAACAGTGACATTACATGAAAGCGAATCTGATCATTGCAGATCAGTGAAAACAATCTACGCGGTTGTTGTTCAACTGGGTGAATCACACTTGCCTTGCCAGGGAATTACTTCACATCCTTCGGTTTGAAAAGCTATGTCATCCACGGCAAGGAATGCCTGCTTCGAGGACGTCTGCCCTTCAAGAAGGACCTAGTTACATCCGAAAAAGACTAAACGTCAAAGATTTCACACTTGTCATGATACTGAAGTGTTTTCTCGGTAAGACAAAAGGCAACATAACTTGCAGCCCCGACCACCTATCTTTCAATAGTTGTTTCTTCGTTTTGGCAGAGAAGCTTCTTATAAATTGCAAATACAGTAAGCCCCAAATGCTTGCCCATCAATAAACAAAAACTTGGAAAAACATGCAATCAAACAAAATCCTTTTTTTTAATCTTGCAGTCTGGTCCGTAATTTATGGCATGTTTAGCCTCTTTTGTCCGTTAAGTGAAACTATATCATATTGTAAATGATGCTTGTCAGGAAACTATCGGTACGAAAACATCCGATGAAGTAAACAGGAATCAGTTATATTTTAATTTTGGTAGAATCAGGTCGGCTGCCTCCTTCTTTTCCAACTTAGGATAGGGCTGCGCGGCATCAACCCAAATTGAGCGAACTAAGCTTTTTTGTAATCCAATAGCTTTAGAGATTTATATTTAGCTATGGTATTCACCTGGTATGGCCTTGAGCCAGAGTCGATTGGCAAGCGAAGATACATCCAATGTCCAGTTTTTTCGCGATCTTGATGAGAGACTAAACTCCACAAAATGGCTTTGGTTTCATTGATTATTAAAGACACCTTAAGAGAACTAGATCCGATGGTTTCAAGATAATACCAGAGCTGCATACAATTCCAACCTTCTTCAGGCAAAATGTGTCGACTTTTCAAAGTCCCATAGCATCCCGATTCTTTGTTAGTCCATGAAAAACCTTGCAAATATGTAAATCCTCCTGCAGAATATCACATTTAAGGAATTTACAGGGAAATGCTCAATTTGGTTAATTAAAACGCAAGGGGGCAATATACGTACCAAGGGTGTTTTGCCAATCCTCTTCCAAAAATTTCAAGGGGGAAAGTTTACTCATTCGCCAGTTGTCACTCGTCTCCCAAGCGCAATGATCCTGCTCAAATAGACATCCGGGAAGCTCTGTTAAATACAGCAGTTGAAAATAAAACGGTAACGTTAACACATTCGTTTAACCCGTGTCTTCGAACATATTAAGTGGTTTTAATCTATCACGACCAGGACCTTCTCAAAGCCTCCGGAGATAATATAGATGTAAGACACTAGGTCAGTAAATGATACTTAAGAATTCAGCGAATTCACCATTTTTGCACTGCTCATAATGCGCTCTGTTTAGTCCCCAAAATCTTGCACACGCATATTCTTCTCGGTTTCTTTTCTTTCTTTCAGGGACTATTGCCCTGCCCAGAAGAAATTGGTACCAATGGTTAGGAACAAATTGGAGAGTGGGGGCAAACACTGCGTACTATGGGCAATGCGAAAGTGTGAATAGTACTATAAATCATACCATTTAACATATTTCAAGTTCGACTGTACTAGGTTCAAGCCCTAATTGAGGCTTTCTTCGTACGGCCAGACGTTTAGTAGGATTTAACTAAGTTTAGTAATGGTAAACTAACCATTCCCCGTTATGGTGTCACATGTATTTTCGCCAAGTAAGGATAGATCATCAACGGCAATGTCTCCGTAAATTCCACTACCAACAACCCCCTCTAAGATGACCTGCAAAGAGGAATCAGACGAGTTTAAAGGTGCCATATCTCAGTTCAACGAACAAATTTATTATTGCCATATCACTCAACAACGAGATCTGTTCTCGCTTATAAAGGATTTGTCATTCTATAGAGTAAGTTAAACTGACTGACGTAAGCTCACTTGCGGACCTACGCACTGTCATTACAAATTTTCCAGTCAAGTTTAAAATGGCCACCAGGGGAGAATCAGTCAATTCGTGACTGAACTATCTGCCCATAGCCTTGCGTATTATGGTCGAGAACTATCTTACTTCATATCATCAATCCACAGCAACAACAACAACGTCTGACTAGCCCTCTCGTTTTCTGATTGTCAAATCTCGGTAATAAAAGATCACCATTAGTATGGATAGCAATTTTTAGAACAGTTATTAACTTAAAGTTATTTGTTGCAATATTACCCCTACCTTGTAGTTCTTCAAGCCGCCTTTGTATCCAACTTGTCCAAAGTTCCATTTGTCACCTTGTTCACCAGTCGTATTCCAAACCAGCGTTTTTGTTTGATTTGTTTGAATGTAGACTTTCAAGCTTCCGACATCCTTTCCTTTCGTGTGATACCAAAACTGTACACAAATAGATTTACCAGGACCAATTATACTACTGACCAGTATGGCTCCCTCACCTGCCTTCTGCTCCGATGCTTCCAGAAATAGGTATTTTCCTTTATAGATAATTAGATAAATAAAAAGGAATAACAGAAATAAATACATAATTAAACTTAGAAAGAAAAAAAGACTAAAGAGTCAAACCAAGTGCACCAGAAATCTTATCAAAGCTTTTGTCTTTTACACGTTGACATAATAAGAACGTTTAGTTTGGAACAGCTGTCAAGTTCAGTTGATGTATCAGCCCATCATTTACAGTAAGAACTATTCGTTACTTTTAGCATTTTCTTTATTGCTTTGTTTCTAATATTGTTGTATAACAATTTTAATTTTTTTCAAATATAAACTTAGTGCAGCTTGCCGTTCATGAGATGGTTTGTGGCACTTGGTGGGGCCTTTCCAAGAGGGAATACGAAGAGAAAACTGAAGTGCTTAAGACTTAGTATCACTCAGACCAAGAACCTTCAGGTAGAAATGTGGTGTGGTCATAATCCGGACCAGTGTTTTTTGTGGGTGTTGAGCCAGACCCAACGCGCCAGTTAACTTGTTCCATCCCGCACAGTCCATCCTCAAAATCGCATTTAACTAACACAATGCATAAGAAAGACTTCGTAAGTAGAGAGCAATGTAATTTCTGTTGTCAGCAAGAAATGATAAACCACAGTAAAGTTAACAAATGGTAAACGGCTCATCGTGTGCTATTGAGTTATGGATGCACGCAGGAGGTTGCTAAACACGAAAGAAGCGTAAGAGTCGCAATAGGCGGTAGTCGAGTATCCTCCTCAGTGCAACTTAAACTCAATAGTACACGGTCAGCCGTTTACCATTTGTTTTATAACATAATCAAAAGGGAGAAACTTTTAATTTTGCTCACAAATAGTAGAGGAAATGACGTGAGTGCTGTAATCTACTTGTGCTAAGGCGTGTGCAAATCATTCTTTGCAAATTCTTTTCTTATGAAAAAATCTTTGCAAACCAGGATGTATAAAAAATACGGTTGCGTTGAAAATAGTGCGTACGGCTTTGAGCGCGCTAGCTTTTGTTACAATTCACCCATGGGAAAAAGTAAATGGGCAATTGACCAATGAGAGCGCACGCTTTGACTTTTGGTTATGTTATAAATAGTTTATTTGTATGATATTTCGCCCCGATGGGGTACCTGGACTACTCAGATTTCACAAATTTACCTACTGCTTATTAGCAGAAATACATTGTGCACGTTATGAACAAAACGAATTTTAGAGAAGTAATTGGGTTCATTTTCCAGTATGGAGACTAACCTTTTGCACTTGCTTTTTTTGATAATATAATATTAAGCGACTGTTTCACTGTTGCAGGTAAAAAGTAGTTCTCATTTATCAACAAGTGTAGGACAAGACTCTTTTTTCCATACCTTTGTTTCCAACACACTGGTGCAGTTTTAATGAATCGTTATAGTTAAACCAATCACAACTCAGATTATGCAACGGACAGCGCGAAGACCCTGAAGAAACAAAAGTCCTGCCCAATGCATTCATTATTTGACTATTACGTAGTGTTGTTTATTATTACTACTTTAATCAACTTTAATATATTTATTTATTTGTGTATTTAGTATTGCTGCATGTTATACACTTAAACAGATCTTGATATTGTAACGCCACGATTCCCAGTTAAAACACGGCGTTAAGAGAACAAAACATGTTTAATCTGCTACTCAACTAGTCTCACAATCATTTCTTCGCACATGGTTATTACGCCATGTCACGTGACTTACTTAGAGGGGTACCCGTGGGGTTTGCCCCGCGCCCCACTACCCCCCTACTTATGCACTGTCTCAGTGCTGGTCCACTATTTCACAGATCGTTTCCGAAAACAACTTCAATTAAACGCAACAGATCAAGTCTCAAATGCTCGTTCATCAACGTGCCCAGCGTCTACAGTTCTTAGGTAATGAAAGGCATTAACTTTTACTTGACTGTCCTATAATGCTTGTCAGACCCTGAACATTTCAGATTAATCAGTCACCCAAGTTCCGAATCGACTTGGTGGCTTTCGCTGCCTTGACGGTCTCCCACAAACACTTGAATCAATCCCAGGTAAACCTTGTACAGTCGACTCAGCTGTCTGACAGCCGACACCCGCCTGGTTGAGGTCATGTGCAACAGAGGTTGTCAATTTCGCACGAGGCTCAGGTTTCGTCACATCCTTAGGCTTGGCACCGTTATCGTCACTAATGAAATCAGCATTCTGGAATCTCGGGGAAACATTATCCTTGTCTGTTTCCGTAGATTCCGTTTCGTTGCGCTCAACTCCCTCTCTCGCGTTAACCGGAGCTGACTGTCCCTCGTCCACGCAATTTGAATCCACAACCGATGTCTGTCTCCCCTCTTGTCTTGGGCTCGATAACAATCTCTCCAGTGGGGGTCCCAGGTAAGGCTTTAATCTGTCTGAGTGAACGACCTTAGGCTTGGCCTTTCGGCTCTTCTGAATACGGTACACCACATCCGATAGCACCGATATTACAAGATAGGGTCCTTCCCAAGGACAGTCAAGTTTGGCGTTTCTCCCCTTCTTCCTCCGAACGTTATGCAGCCAAACAGAATCACCAATAACAAATGGTCTACCGGAAAGCCGTTTGTCGTAGTTCCGCTTCTGCCGTACAGCTGCTTTATTCAAATGACGCCTGTCCAAATCATGCGCACTAGCCAATCTCTTTTGAACAGCTTGTGCATAGTCCGTCTTGAGTGGTGATGCATCAGGCGGTCTCTCAGTTATGACATCCAGGGGAACCTCCAGTTCCCTACCCAACATCAAGAGGTTAGGTGAAACCCCGGTTGACTCATGAACAGCACCTCGATAGGCCATCATGCAAGTTGGAAGTTGTAGAACCCAGTCTGTCTGGTCTTGCTGGATCTTCCCACGTAACATTTCAATGAGGGTCCTGTTAAAACGCTCCACCTGTCCGTCAGACTGGGGATGCAGTGGAGTGGTGCGGGTCTCCTCAATGTCTAACAGCCTGCAGACTTCAGCAAACACCTTTGACTCAAAGTTAGTTCCTTGGTCGCTATGAAGCTGACGGGGTACACCGAAGCGACAAATGAACTCGCTCACAAGCTTCTCTGTAACAGTGGTGGCCTCCTGGTATTGGATAACTCTCAGTTCACGAAGTGAAATAATCACTAACCACGAGTATAAACTTGTTCTTTCGCGGGGTTTCTGGCAGTGGGCCAAGAATGTCAATCGCGATTCGTTCCATGGGAGCTCCCACCACGTACTGCTTTAACGGAGCACGACGTTTGCGTCCCCAGGCTTTCTTAGACCCACAGAAATGGCACCTGACGACCAATCTGTGAACTGTTGAAGTAAGTCCTGGCCAGTAAAAACGAGATTGAAGAGCGCCTAGGGTCTTCCGTATACCACGATGACTTGCAGTCGTATGACTATGATGAGCTTCAAGGACAGCCTGTCGAAGACTCTCGGGAAGAATGACCTGGTCAATAATCTGATCACCTCCGTCAATTTCCCATTTGCGGCAAAGTACACGGTTTCTGAAGAGCAGCCGGTCCCACTGTGACCACAAGGTCTTCACAACACAACTCTGAGGCGACACATCTTGCCACAATGGTTTTTCTTTGCCGGCTTCCTTCCAACCAATAATAACCTTGAGATCAAAGTCAGCTTCCTGTTGTTCCCTCAAGAAAGTTGAAGTCCAGGTAGGTTCTAACTTAACAGTGGCACAACGAGCATCAACAGGTTCTTCACAAGTCACAGGTTGTTCGTTGTCCTTGCAAGGGACATGCATCACAGTCTGAACACCCACATCAACAAATGATGCTCGCTCCTGTGACTTCCAGCCCTTACACCACTTACAACGGACATCACAGGGTCTACGGGAAAGTGCATCAGCATTCAGATGTCGCTGTCCTGGTCGATACTGGATCTCGAAGTCGAAAGTACTCAAGTAATCAAGCCAACGTGCAAGCTGTCCCTCGGGATCTGTGGCCTGGACAACAAAACGCAAAGGGGCATGATCAGTTCGAATGCAGAATCTTGTACCTTGTAGGTAATGCCGGTATTGCTTGACAAACTCAACGATTGCCAAGAGCTCACGACGGGTCACACAATAGTTCCTTGAAGACTTGGACAATGTCCGACTTGCAAACGCAATGGGTGTTTCCACCCCGTCTTGAAACTGTGACAACACTGCCCCAATGCCATGGTCTGACGCATCGGTGTCTAGCACAAACTTTCCCTCCCTAGTAGGGTAGGCTAGAACTCTACCGGACGTAAGTAAACCCTTCAGGCTGTCAAAAGCCAGCTGACATTGCTCTGTCCAAGAAAATTCCGCCTTGGCTTCCGTTAGCTTGTACAACGGCTTAGCTATGGTCGAGAAATCAGGGATGAATCGGCGGTAATAAGAGGCAAGTCCAGGACACTTTTGACCTCCGTGCTGTTTTCTGGGGTTGGTCAGGTGCGAACTTGCTCCACCTTTTCAGGGCCTGTAGCAATGCCTTCGTCCGTGACCATATGTCCGAGGTACGAAACCCGTTTCTGGAAGAGAAAACACTTCTTTGGCTTAAGTTTTAGTCCTGCCCTGCCTACTCGCTCAAACACCTCTTTCAACCGCTCTAATTCTTCTTCAAACGTGTGTCCCATAACTATCACATCATCAAGATAGATTAAACAAATCTTCCAATGTAGGCCCTTCAAAACAAGTTCCATCAATCTGGCAAAGGTGCTGGGTGCGTTGCAGAGGCCGAAAGGCATCACGGTCAACTCATACAGGCCGCTCGAAGTTACGAATGCTGCCTTCTCCTGGGTGCCCGTACCATTGCCGCTTGCCAATAACCTGAGGCAAGATCCAAAGTTGAGAACCATCGGGAACCACTCAAAGCAGCAAGAGAATCATCAACGAGGCAAGGGGAAGGCATCCTTTACCGTCACTGCGTTGAGCTGGCGGTAGTCCACGCACATCCTTTGGCTACCGTCCTTTTTGGTTGCTAGCACAACCGGAAAAGACCAGGGGCTGGACGATTCCTTCACCTTGCCCTGCTGTAGGAGGTTAGTGACTTGTCGTTCTATCTCATCATGTTTCCATGGTGAAGTTCGCCGGGGTTCAATTCGGATTGGAAGTGCATTGCCCGTAACGATTCTGTGCTGGCCCATGTGCGTGGTGCCTAAGTCCCCGTCCGAAATTGAGAACACATGCTTGTAACTGAATAGCAACTCCTGCAGTCTCTCAGTTTCACTGTCAGTTAATTTATCTGTGCTTCTCTCAAGTAGTTCCTGCAAGGCCTTCGGTAGAGTCATATCGACTGCTCCTTGTGACACATGTTCATTTATTACTCTAGCTTGGCCCATAGCACCGTCATGGTTCTCTTCGTTAAGCTCTAGTGAGGTGACATCAGTAACTGGCTCAGCGAGGGCAATCACAGTCTCAGTAGCCAAATGAAACACTTCATTAGAAATATTGAAAACACGTAATGGGACCACCCTGTCCTCCGTAACATCAACCACAGTCCTTGCAACATAAAGTCCTTTTTGTTGCAAATGGGAGTTCAGACATGGTTCTAACAATCGCGTGCCTAATTGAAACGACTTTGGGTCTAAGTTAAATGAACGCTTGTGAACAAGGACTGGGACGATCACCTCAGTGTTAGGTTCAATCATGGTTGACCGTCGAACCATACATCTGGAACTAAGGGGTTGGTTCTTGAAATAAGAACAATCAAACACTTCGCCATTAATTGACAGTTGGTTTGTCGCAATGTCAATACGTGAATCAACTTGTGACAGGAAGTCTATACCCGAAATGCCCTCACCCTCAATCTCAGCAACAACTACATGCATTTGGAACTCGCTGTTACCAAGGCGCATGACAACATGTCCCACACCATAAGTTTTCGCTTGTTGACCATTAGTAAGAGCAATGGCAGAATTTTCTGAACTCAAACTGAACTTAACGCTAGCAGGCCGTAAAGAATTATAAACCTCGAACGACAAAACTGAACGTGCGGCACCAGTGTCTATGAACCACATGACACGAGAGCCTCCAAGAAAGCCTGGCAAGTAAAGGCCACGTAACTTTTCCTTAACATGTGACCGTTCCATGGGTGTATCAGGACATGTCATTTCCTGGTTTGGCAATTGCTGAGAAAATGCATTGTTCACATCAGTACCACTTGTGGGGCCAACATCACCCGCCTTTAAGCATCCCCCTGGCCCTTGGGCGACACCCTGCAGGCGTTTCCCGAGCCCGGGTTGGCTCGGTCAACTGACTTGTACAGGGTGTTTCAAAAGTTCGTTCCGATTGTAAATTGTATTTTGCGCAAAGCATTTAATGCGTCCTTAGGCAAATGTAAACTGATTCAGGTAGGAAATTTATCTAAATAACCGTTCAAAGCAATTTCAAACTAAAATTTGAAGAAATTATGAAATTTTTTAAATTCTTCCCCCAAATGTGCACGTACGCGAATTTTTTCCCGCCATATTTTTCCTGCCCATTTTGTAGGTCTTCTGTTTTCGCTTTTAAGCCTTTTCTATTGTTTTCTCTACTCTTTCACGAAAATGAAGGCGTACACTGTTTGTGCTAGAGCTCAGGCATCTATTTTTACGGTACTCTGTTCATTTAGTCAAAGAAATTGTCAAATTGTTGAAGAAGTCTGAACGACGAGAGAACAAGTGGTCAAAAGTAAAGACCTTACAAGACAAACCAAGGAGTAGATGGCCGGGTTTTTTTACAAACTCTGTGAAGAATATTATCGAAAAAGCTTTAAAGTGCTACTACGATCAAATTTAGGAATTTGTTTTTGATTACATATTTCAAAAATGTATGTAAATGTGACTTACCGTGCCAAGTTTGGAGTCCAAATATGATCTGGAAGTGTGTTTATTTGCACGGCAATTTTCGTAAATGTCTTGCCGCCATTACTCGATTCAAAAAATGACCGGGAGTAGTATTTGAAGGAGTTGGGGCGAGATGTGACGTAGAAACATCAACGCGGCAAAACAAGGTAAACAAACGTGGGTAATTTCGCATGCAGGACGAGATATTTTTGGAAGCCTTTGGAGGTTCTTTCTTCGCTTTTTTGACTTAGAGCGAAAGTATGCCTGCTACAAGTTGTGTTGTTTAGGACTGTGGAAACGTAAAGAACGATGAATTGGGGATTTTCATTCATAATTCTCCTGATTCGGGCAGCGTTAGATTAAAGTGGAAAAGGTTCGTGTCCATTCATCGGAAGGATTTCAACCCAGTGGGAAAATTTGCTGTGTGATCGGAGCATTTTACAAGGGATTGTTTTACGCCTGCTTTTCCGATGAAAGACATGAAAAGGAATTTGAAGAAGGGGACGTTTCCAACCATTTGGGAAAAATCCTCTCAAACACTATCAAAGCGGAGTCGACGATCGGTGAGTGAAATTACAATGTATTTGCGCTGTGCTTATCACCATTATATTTATTTCCCCATTTACCTGTGACATGATTTTTTCTGGCATCGTTGTTCAATATTCGTGTAATGAATGCTCTGACTATTTGGACCTCCCATATTGTTGCATGTGTTTTCATACTTTTCTGCTTTCTTCTCATAGTTATAGTAAAATTAAGAGTTACACGCGAGTCTTTTAAAACGACCAAAAATGGACTTAGTCTGATTTCTACATTCTATAAGTTCAGTTACTGTTTGCGGGGTTTTTTTTTCGTTTGTATTTTAATTCTATTTTCACTGTCTGCAAATGATGCATACATTTTAAGGCAAAGATGTGGTTAAACCTTGCTTCCATTTCTAGTTTTGAAAACATCGACATAAAGCTCAAATTTAAACTTGTTTTGAAGGGGAGATATAAAAAATGGTCGTAACTATTTTCATTTTTAGCTACTAAATGAAATTCTGGCTGGTCAAACTACTAATGAGGATACAGAGGAAGAAGACAATCCTGAAGAAGAGGTGACTTCTTTGAAAGGAAGTTCTGCACCTGAGGAGAGTGCTGACACTATGGGGGCTCCCAATCTCAACCCTGAGGAGTCTCCAGAAGTCGAGGGTGTTCTGAATACAAGTCAGGGTTCTTTGCTTGAGGTAAATCCTGAAAAGGAGGGCTGCATCCCTGAGACTGAGACGGGTGAGATAAGTGTTGATGCTGAGATGGCTTCAGAGGTCCTAGGTTCTCCTGGTGATAAGACAGCTCTCGAGAGCCAAGGGATTTCAGGCAGTGATGAGGTTACTGAGACCATGCTGTTGCAGATCCTGGAGGCTCAGGGAATCGAAATAGTGCAGGATATGGATGAAGTTATGCAGATTGATGAATCATTAACGATTCCTGAACTTGAACAGGTTTCTATGGTAGGCGCATAACTCTAATTAATGTTTATTTGCATCTTTGTATTATCATGACAATGGAAAACTACATGTGCAGTTATTTTACAACAATACTAAAACACAAAAATTCTAAAGTCTTGTTATTACAGCCTGTATTAATGTTGAAAGTTTGTTTTTTGTAGGATACTCCAACTGGACATGCTGGGAATTGCACAACATGCAAAACCCTGAGGAGTGAGGTGACTCAGTTAAGGGGTAAAGTCACAAGACTGAAGAGTAAGTTAATCTCCAATCAAGATCAGTGGGTTGAAACCTTTAAGAGCATACAAGAGCCGAAGCAGTTGCTGATGGTGAATGCTGGTGAGTCAACAATAATTGATGTTGATGAGTCATATAGGCATAACTGCCTATTTTTATATTTTTATTATATTTTATCAATATTTGATTATTTAATAATTAATTAAAATTTTAATGTTGATAGAATTTTTTTAATTCCATTTGTTTAAGCTATTCAAACTGATCCATGGCCAGTAACAAACGAGACAGAGTTAGGGCTAGAGGATGAATCAGAAGATGAGCAGGAAATGCAGGACGACGCGTATGAGGAGTTTGAGTGTGATGAAGACCCTACATGGAGTCCTGAAGAAATCGAAGATGCATATAAAAAACTAAGGAAGATGATGACTCGGTGAAGACTCATCAGAACCCAAGGTACAAAGATGCAAAATTTATTGCATTTTAACATCTTAGCTCTAAGTATCCTCTGGGAAGTGATTTAGGCCTAAAACTAACTTCCAGTATGAGAGGATCTATTTAGAAACAAGAGTACATGAAATTTGTTTTTTAATTTACTCAGATAAGAATTGCAAAAAAAAAAAAACAGAAGAGGCATAGCCAGCCCATAGACTGGAAGTCCCAGGCCTAAAAATGTTTGGTTTGTCCACTCAACCACTTGTCATAAATTATGCATCGTTGGGGTGGGCTAGATAGCTTAAGGGCTCAAAGTTGTCATGTGTGCAATCAACAGAATTATCATAAAAAAGCATTTTTCAGGATGTATGTGAGAATAAAATCCCAACCCACAATTAGCCAGGTTTACAACAAGTTGAAAAACTGGCAACACCCTGAGAAAAACAATAAAAATGATAATCATTTTTTTATTGTTATATTATTATTTCAGATGCTATGATTAAATGAGTATTTCCTTTCAATCATTTTTTACAGGTTGGATCCACAAGGAAAAAACATTCGAGAGGAACTGAAGGGAATTGTTTTCCTTTCCAAACTTCTTCTTTTGTTTCAGTTCTGCCACTTGTGCTTCTTTTCAAAACCCAAACTTTCTGTATCACAGACAGGTACCTTGTTAACCGTAGAAAGTTTCTGCAGAAACTGTAGCCAGACAAAAGTCTCGAAGAGTCAACCAGACCCGCTAGGAAAGTTTCCAGCAGGTAACCTGCTATTAAGTTTTGCAGTGCTCTGTGAGCCGAGTGAAAAGAAAGAAACGATATATTAAAACTGTAATTAAATTCAGGCTGAATTCGATTTAATTTTTATTACTTGTGTACATGAAAATTGGAGCATCATCAGAATTCCCAGCCGCTAAACTTGAGTTTAACTGAACGCTAGAAGAACAGGGCTTCACACAGTGGGCAAGTTGGGGCAATAAAGCCATTTAGAAAATAAAAAATGTGATTCTATGAGATCAGTCCACGGCGATAAGCTTAGATGTATTAAATATTCAATGCTATGTAAGGTTCGATCGTTCCGATACAAAGTCAACAATACCCCAACTTACTCATCATCACTTTTGTTGCTTTGCCCACGAACAGTTGTGTACGACTTTCCAGCTCGCGTTTTTAGGCCCAGTGCAGCCACTTCTAATACGTGGCGGTTTAAGCAGACGCTTTCAAACCCTGGATGGAGGGTTATGCATACGGTCCGGTCTCCAATGGCTTCTTCCATGACCTCTTCGCAGCGATCGATCTCTTTGCAGCGAATGCACTCCTGCGCTCTTGTAACAAGGCTGACAGAGCAGTTCGAGCACGAACACCTGCAAAGTAATGTGAAAAATTCGTCAAACACAAGAAAAATACGTCTGTATAAAATTATTAATTGTCTAACCTCTTCAATAAAACTATCGCATAAAATCAGGACTACAGCTAATCATATAGCAAGGAAATTGTAAACTTAACAAAACACATAGTCGCGTTCGTCACGCGCACGATTTAACGACGGGTATGTTGAAATTGGAAAATAAAAATATAAATCTACATTCCATGATAATACCATACCATTCATTCGCTGGCACCTCTCCCGAATATCTTCGTTGAAACTGTTGTTCCTCTTCTTCTTTGCGATGAACTCTTTCGTTGTAGTCCGCGGCTTCTTCCTCGGTAGCAAGGGGTTCGCAACTGTCGTCGTACGGCGCAAATTCAGACAATTCCCCAATCACTTCGTCAACTGTAAAACTTTTTAGATCACTTTCAGATGTGCACGAAGAGGAATCCGACGGAGATGACATCTTAAACGTCTTGTTACAGTCAAACCAGGTCAAGCGTTCCCGTCGCTAACGAACTAATGAATTCATTCACGGAAAAATGATTTCGTTTGTTGATTCAATAATCCATTCATAAAATGAACAATCCAATAGTCATATTTAGCCTCGATTCCATAATCGAATGTTGATTCGATTACTGTTTTTTGAAAAATTACACTTTCCACAAGTTGACCTCAGAATTTTGTTTTTTCCTCTTTTTTTCTGAGAGTCGAGTGCTGGCGAGTTCTGAACTTCAAACCCAAACAAACTGTTACATGTACGCCAGGTTGCTGCCAATAATCAGTGCAACAGACCTAGGCCTGACCTCTTAGAAAACACGACGGTCAAACTGAGGTCAGTGTACGTGCGGTGATTGGTGGATTTCGATCCTCGGCCTTTGTCAGTTTCTTTGCGTTTGCGGTCTGTCTATTCTAGCTGTTATTTTGATTAAAGGCAATGAAAAACGCAATCGTAAACGGCAGGAAAAGGGAAGCAAATACAACAAACAAGAATAAAGAACAGGTAGATTTTGTTCATAAACCAAATCAACATTTGATTATTGAATCGAGGTACAATTTGACCGTTGGATTATTCATTTTATGAATGGATTATTGAATCAACAAACGAAATCACTTTTCCATTAATGAATTCATTAGTTTGTTAGCGACGGGAACGCTTGACCTGGTTTGACTGTAAAAGGCTCTAAACGCACAAACTTTTCCCAAATGCGAATCTTTTGGTTGATGTTTCTGCGTCACAGTGCATAAATAACGTGGTAAAACGCACGACCGCTTTGCGGAGATCTCGCGGGCTATTGTTTTGCGAACTTTGTAATGGCGGACGGTATTTACGCACTTTTCAGTGGGAAATTTCCAGCCCCCGTACGCAAGTATCGTTCCAATTTTTGGCTATTTGTATAATTTTGAACATGTACAAAAGATTTATGTTAAAAAAACTCGGAAACAAAAACAAAAATTTTCGTCGTAGTAGCACTTTAAGCATATGCGTAATAATTCAACAAGACTGAAAGGTAAAAAGAAAACTTCAACTTCACAATATCAAAGTTTCGAGCACAACGGTATGGAGATATGTGACCAACAAAGGTTGGAAAGCCTTGAAGAGAAAAAAGGCGGTGCACACTTCATGCAGGCATGGCATCAGAAGAATTTGCAAACTTTATACCAAAGGACGACCGGCCGGCAAACTCACGTGACGCGAACTCTCTAGTAACCATCTGGATTATCGTTGATGAGACAACATACAAAGATCCAGCCCCCATAACACTGGACTAGATAAGACAGCGACCACACTTCACCTGGAAAATTGTGAATTTAGACACGCTATGGGAGCTCGTACATTCTATACCTCACCGTCCAGAAAATGTCAGAAATCATAAAGGAAGACATTCTGGCTGCTAATATTTCAGTTAGTCAATGTTAAATGAATAATGAATGACATGCTTAGGTTTACAAAAGTTATCTTTAATAATCATTGAAATTTAAGCGAAGAAAAAATCGGAACGAACTTTTGAAACACCCTGTACTTTGGGCAGTTACGACCATAATGGCCAAATTCTTTGCAATTCCAGCATTGAACATTGCGGTTGGAGTAACGTGAAGGAGGTAATCGCTGCTGGCTACCAGAGGTGTTCAAAGAGAGTGACTTGGAGAGTTGCTGTATCTGCTCAACTAGCGGTTGCATAGCAACCCGCCGAGTCTCCCGACGTTGTTGTTGCACTCGAATGTCAGAACGTAACATATCTAGCTGAGCTTTAAGCAAATCAGGCTCTTTATCAGCGTCATCCACAGAGCGAACCTGAAGAGGGCTTCTCCGCTCATCTCCATCCACGAGACGAAACGCCTCAAGTTCACAAGCTAGCGACAGGGCGTCATCTAAGGTGCGAGGTTTGTCTCGTAATTTAAGCAAGTCGTCTCGATCCCTGAGTGCATCAATAAAGTGGTGGACGGTAAATCTTTCTTGAGTGTCCGGAGATAAGTCCTGATAAGCTAAACTTGACAGAGAGCGAATATCTGCAGCAAGAGCTTTCCAGTTGGCGACGGTTATGAAGGCGCACTTGGTGTAACTCACGCTGCTTTTCAACACCAAACCGAAGCTCTAATTTGTCAACAATTCTGGCGTAGTCTCGACAATCGCTATCAGACATACCATTAAGCACCTTTTGGGCTTCTCCTCGAAGACCTGCAGCAAGAAATAGAGCGGCTTCTTCTTCGTTCCAACCATTAACAACAGAGCAACGCTCAAAGTGTTTCAAATAATCACCTAGCGACTGAGTACCATCATAATCCGCAGGATTTTTAATAGGCTTGTTTAACTTCGGGCGGTGTGTAAACAAATCAATGGAGTGAGTATCCTGTTGACTCTCCGATGCGAACGGGTTTTTTAAGTCGGTGACTTGCGCTGCTACCATGTACTGACGGATCCAGCGGCGATTCAAACGGGCCCGCCGATTGAAATCGCCGACCTGGACTCTCCACATGCATTGATGAGTCTACCGATGAAACAGACTCTGATGTAAGTGGGTTTCCCGCTTTAAAAGGATTAACTGGCGTTGAACAACTCATTCCTTTAAATCCTGAATCCACAAGTGAGTTTTCCGCCATTGCAAACGGGCGAGACCACGATAGCAAACACACGAAGAGACTTTGGATGAAAAACAACGGAGGACGATGAAACTCAGTCACGAAAACCATGAAAATATCGCCATTGAACACATAGATCAGTGAAGTTCGTCTTTGTTTACCGCTGCCATCAGTGTAACGCCACGATTCCCAGTTAAAGCACGGCGTTAAGAGAACAAAACGTGTTTAATCTGCTACTCAACTAGACTCACAATCATTTCTTTGCACATGGTTATTACGCCATGTCACGTGACTTACTTAGAGGGAAACCCGCGGGGTTTGCCTCGCGCCACAATATTTAATTCATTTGGTTTCTTTGTACCTTTTCCTTGCGTGTGTAATATTGGTTATCTCGCGCTTATTAAAAACGTTAATTTTGAATTGAAATGACGAGTTGTAACGTCACGTGCAATTGCATCATGCATCACCATATGTTGTTATTCCAGATCGCAGTAACTGTCAGTATTATAGGATTCATTACCTGACTCGTGAATTCCACGTTAAATTGCACCCGAAAACCGATATCGTACGAATCGTGAAGCGATGAGTGCGATATCGGTTTTCAAGTGCAATTTAACGTGGAATTCACGAGTCAGGTAATGGATTTTCCTTGAATCGCATAATTGAATAAAAATCAGAAAAAAAAGAAAACAGCAATAATACTGTTTGTTTTGATGCTGAGCGTGCGCTCCAGAAAGCCATTTCAAAGTCAACTGTCAGAACTGTCATTGCGTTAGCGAATAGGAGGCAAGGTCAGTCGTACACGTTTGAACCTTCGACAACTTTTTTGGTACCTTGTTCTTGTTTTTACATTTGTTTTCAAACTTTCATACATGTAAACAAGCTTCACAATAATCGTAAGGATGAGTAGAGGTATTTCACTGAATTTACAAGCCGTTTTTCTATAACATCCTCTTTCAAAGTGGTCATTTGCTCGAGAAGGAAAATAATTTACACCTTTTACCTCTTCGGCGGCAAAACTGGAAGAAATGAATTGTCCAAGCAAAATCTCTGAAAGTTTAACGTCGCGATTGATATAAGTTAAGTACCTTGAAATGTCTTAGAAATGCTGTTCAAGTTCAGCTCTGTTTTGTACTTTTCTAAGTACCACGATTCAGGACGATTGCAAGCGGCGTACTCTTTTTCGTGTTTTCAGGGGCCATGTCGTCTTTAAAGGTATTTATTTCTTCTTCTGTATATGTGACAATCGATCCTGGCACTTCCTCCGTTGTCGCTTCTCCGTTTTGTTTGGTAGAACTTTGGCTTGCCATTTTCTGGGCCGTGTTCACGGGATTTTCTAGTTTCCTCGTTGTCGCGAGCGAAAGAGTTTTTTTATGCCTCTCCGAGAATTTGTAGTTCGGTTCAAAACAAGGAAAAACCTCCGGCTCACTTTAGAAAACGCTTTTGTTTGTTTTTAACTCTTCAAAAGGTGACAATGGTTTTGAAAACATTTTAAAATGACGTTGTAGAAAACCTTTTTTGCAGTTGTTGTGTTAGAATTTGACTATAGTTGTTATGTAGATGCGAAACAATATCGCTTAGCGTCGTTTCAAACTCGCAGTTCCACACTAAATACCTCGCTTCGTTAACCAATCAGAATGCGAGATTTTAATCCAATTATGCGATTCTACCTGCAACTGAAGATGATGGTAGATCGATCGAAATATGTCTTGCTTCAAATTCAAAGTTGTGGCTCATCAGTTTTAAGGAAAGTGTCGCTTCTATTTCATTTAACATTCCTAGACTGTCCACTCTAGTTCTAGCATTTAGAATCACAGTTTAGCAAGGGAAAGTTAAAAAATACAGTACCCTCTAGTAGGTACACTCTTTTGTTTCTATAGGAATATATTTTATAACAATATCGTAGCCTGCAGTGCAGGCGTTTTCTTCGGGCGAGCGAATGTTTTGCTCGAAACTACCTCCGTCTTGATGTCAAAGATGGCGGTTACAACAGTACGAACATAAACAAGCAGCTTTCGCCCGCCCAAAATGCGCCTGCATTGCAGGCTAAGAATATCGAGGCTGAAATTGCAAAATTTTAAGAATATTTTGAGAATAAACCCCAGGCTGAGATTTCGAAAAGGATGATCATTTTGAGAGATGAAAATCTGAAAAATATGTCTTTAACTTGACCGTATCAAATTATTTCTTCCTCTCACGGCAAAACTACCCAACAGAACGAAGAAACCTGCACTGGTTATAGCCAAATGTTCAGTTCTAATGACAATTCGATGAACGGTACATGAAATACATATCTATAGTATACAACGAAAAAGTAATGAACAAACCGCAAAAAGTATATGATAATTTTTTTGTTTTTAAATTGTTATAATTCAAGAATAATACAATAATATTCTGAGGATAAATTCGGCAGAAATAAGAATATTCAGCCTGGCCCGAAAAAACAACATTCTAAAATATTAAAAAAAAGTGTATTGCCATCTAAAAATTTGGTGGTAACAGCTATTCTGTCCGGATTTTGTCCAGATCTAGAAAAAAAACTGAGGATATTGGGGGCAGCTTTCATTCTGAGGTAAGCAAGACATTTACCTGCGCACTAATCTGTGCATAGTCATGAATATAATTAGAACGAGCTATATTTGGTAAAATATTGAAAAATTCACTGTAGATTGAAACGTTTTAACATCTACACCAAGTTTATGTATCACCCATTAATTGTTTACTAGCTAAAAATTATACTAAGCTGAAAGGCAAATCGCTGGTTTACTTGAATGCGCAGCAAAAAGAGCCATCAAAGAAAAACACATGTAAAAAATGCAAAATTACCACATATAGATGGCTCATCTGTTCCATCTTCACAGTTCGCATGTCCATCGCACGTGAGAGACCATGGTACGCAACCACCTCCGGAGCAAGAAAAAGCATCTTCTGAGCAGCTTTTCCCTATATTAATGAGGACCTAATTGTGTAACAAATATTCCAGGAAATAACTATAACTTTTTTGAGTCTGTTGCTTACCGCATCTTGCCTCGTCTGTTCCATCCTTGCAGTCCTTTCTCAAGTCACATAGCTTCTCTACATCAAGACATTCACCAGACGGACACACAAAATCACTTGTGAGGCATTTACAGTTTTTCTCGTCTGAGTTGTCTACGCAAGCAGTGTCTCCATCGCACACTAGGTCTTTGCTTACGCAATGGCCATTGTCGCACTGAAAACTACTTTTGCTGTCGCACAGGAATCCTAAAAGAATTGAAGTTTGAATGATAGTTGATCAGTGAAGCTCCTCGAAGTAAAAAAGCCGCCACTATTATTTGCATATTTCAATTACTCATAAGTTCATATAAGTGCACAGACTTTACGCAGCTGGACAACTGAACGTGTTCAGAAGGTTTTAAGAAACTCAGTTATGGATAAAGTGAAGACCATTAAGAGAGAGTTCGTACCTGGTAAGCTATGCAGCGGTAGTCTCTCACACTGAGTTGCAGCAATCCTAATGTTTTTAATTGTCACAGGATTAATCCCAGACGTTTGTTTTCCGATAGCAGCAACCTACAGAATAGAGGACATGATTGAATAAATCAATCCTACGACGGAGCGAAAAGCTTGATCGATTATGTTACCGGAAAGACATTTTACCTTAAAATCCTCACGTGGTTTGAATGACACTTGACCTGTCTGCCAGGTTTGACCCTGGTATCCCTGGAGACTCCACAAAGAGACATTTGATGATGTCAGCAGTACAAAACTTACTGATGATCCAAAATAAGCGGAAAGAAGATAAGAGAAGGACAGGCACAATCCAGTTTTTTCATAAATAAGCTTTTTCGAAATCCACGGGCTCTCTAGAACAGCAACTTTGCTGTCAAAACGGGGGACAATTCCTGAATAAACATAGAATAATAACACATCATTTACTTTCCATTGTCTTCACAGTTAAACTTTGATAGAACGAATTTCTTTATAAGACGTTTTCGCGGGTCTAACGAAAGATGTTGCTTACACCTGTAATAATAAAATATGTGGAAAATAACCTCGTTATAGTGAAAAAATTTTGCCAGTCCCTTAGGACTTGTTTATGTCAAGGTTCCACTGTGACATAAGAGTTCAAAGAACATCCAAGACAAACAAATAACATTTTTTTCCGAAACAAGGCTTGGTGACGAGACCACAGCGATAACTGGCCTGTGGCAGCCAAGCGTTCGCCGTCGGCTCAACTATCGCGTAGCAAGGGTGAGGGAACAACTTTGTTGCATCATAATTAGTTTTTCCTTTGGCAGTCAACAACCAAACTGCGCAAGGTATTATTCGCAGTATGGTGCCCTGTGACTTACACAAATTGCTTAAGATGGTTTACAGCGTCCATAACAATAGTTTACTCGTCAGCTTCCAAAGTAATATGAACTGTTAAGATCGTAGATGGTTGGGTGCATGCCTGATCACCTTTAAGCCCCGTAGTGTTGGCACTGCATTCAGGTACCATTACATCGTATTTAGGTCGAGACAAATAAGGTTCATGTACATGAGGTATTACTGAATCAACAACACAAACCTTTGCCAGACGGTGAAAGTGTCCAACCATTGTCTTTACTGTTCCACGAACAAAGGCCAGATGTGAAATTGCAACTTCCAACTAGGAGAGCTACTTAAAAGAAGAGAAGTGGAATCTTGTTCTGGACAATAAATACTTGAAAAAAACAAACAAACAAACAAACAAACAACAACAACAATATTTTTTACATGCAGTCAGGATTGTCATACCTGAGATATGAACTTCGTTAATTTCCCTTGAAACTTCTGATGTGCATGACAAGCAATCGACCGGGCCATACGTTACCTAACACACGACGATACGCAGTGTCATTTGAAAGGCAAATGCTTGGCAAAAACGTAATAATTTATCCACACGTATCGGGATATTTTTGAATCCGGAACTTTTCCTTGGCGGATTCTTCGCCCACACGTATCCGGTGTAATCCACAACTTTCTGTATTCGCTCTACAGAGTGAAAATGTTGAATGCGCTATGAAATCCGGATATTTTTTCATCCAGTGATGTCACAAGATCGAGCCCAGCTCTTTACAGTGAATTTTCAAGGCGGTGCCGTGCGCAATGTTATGGCTTCTTTACTTCTTGGACTTTAATTTCAAGTGTGCAACTAGCTGACGAACGGAGAGTGAATCCGCATACGTGTAGACGGCCAAATTCGATTTGAATACACGACGGGCGGACGTGGAAATTTTTGAATCGGTATAGAACAATTTTCGGATTCAAAATATCCGGACACTTGTGGACGGGGCTTGATTATATAAAACATCATCATCATCAAGCAGGGGCACCCAGCGACTTTTTTCTTTAAAATAACTGTTCGAAGGCGCAAATATTGCCTAGACATTTCTAAAGCTTGTGAAAAGCTAAAAAGTTCTGGATAACCGTTCCATTCGCCTAAAATATTCGGACATTTTCTGATAGCTTAACTACGATTTTCGGAGGTTGTGTTAGTCACATTTTAATACCAAGATATTGCGATCGTTTTAAAAAAGGTCTCTTTAAACTTTCGGTGTAAAGACAAAACGTCCCCTACAATTTTCTAATGAAAGCAAGGCTCCTTCATGTCCTCCTACTTTCGAACAGACCCATAAGGGTAGCTATCACTTTCGGATGAGACCAAAAACCACCTAAAACTGTCGAGACAACCAAACTCCAGAAGCAAATAGGGGCTATAGTGGGACAAAAAGGGGCAACATTTTTTAAAGGCCAACATTTTGGGTCACATAGATACTGTTGCTAAGGACGCGAACCAAGTAATGTTTTTATTGGATATCTGGACCTCACCCGTTGCTAAGGATGCAAGCTGAGTGCTAGCGAAAATGGTGAAATGTCTAACCCTAACCTTGAGTTCAAATGTCTAACTCTAAATCTCTCGAGTGCAGTGCTTAACCCTACATCTCTCGAGTGCAATGCTTAACTCTAACCTTGAGTCCATTAGTCTAACCCTAATCAAGTAGAGTTCACTACTAACCCTGACCTTGAGATCATTGCTAACCCTAAATCGAGTAAAGGTAACGCTTGAAGGAGTTACGGTTGATTGATTATGCTAACGGAGGCGGCCAAGTTTAGACAAACTCAGTGACGTCACTCATTGATTTACTGACTTGGTAGAAGTTGTTTCTATTTTTAGACTATGTCATGCTTTCGTGAGTGGGCAAGATTGTGCATGCCCACTCTATCTATTGTTCTGTAATGTATAAAAGGAAGGGCAACCTAGGCACAATTCATTTGATTACGATACGTTGTACTTATCAAAGCTCATCAACCTACCCAACCTATCCAAGACCATGTCCTACCTGCGGAAAAAAGTACAAAAACAGATTTGACTTCTCACTTCACAAGAAATATTGTGGAAAGAAAACAGAACCTGTTTCATGTTTATACTGTGAGTAAACATTTAAAAGGAAAGACAATATGTTAAGTCATATCCGTAAGTCTCATTCTGAAGGAGCCAAACGGAAAGCCGAAGAAAGCATGGAACTACTTCATTCCAACAAGGTACCGCATATTGATTCATAACTTGGCAGTGCTGTGACTAACCGCGGTACCAAACGCGAAGCTGCTGAAGGAGATACCAAATCTGATGTGAAAGTCCCTAAACCAGAGGCAGTTGATCCAGAAACAGAGCCTACTGACGAATACGCTGGTGGTCCAGATCCATTCCATGTAGCTGATTTTAAAAAGTTAGGACCAGCATAACGTTAGACCAAAAACGTGGACCAAGAGAAGACGAAGATTTAAACATTGGCGCCACACATGCCTTGGCCGTTGCCATGGAAAATCTAATTAACGACCTACAAATCCTATCCAAATGACTATCGCACGACACTTCAAATTGGCAGCAGAGGGCATAGAAAAGAAGGATTGAAGGGAGAGACTTGGAAAGTACCAGTCGGTGACTTTACAGAAAGAGCTCTCTATACAAAAGCAATGTTGGAGAACCTAACTAATGTGTTAAACATTGGACATTTTATTACCAACGATGTGGGATTTTCTGCATCGATTCTTTTCACTCGCCCTGAGATGAAAGGTGGTAAAAGGGCAGGCGGTGGTCCAGGACAAAAAATTTGGGAACACATAGCCAAAGAATCAAGAAGTGTGTGCGAGATTAAAAATAAAGATGACTTGTGCTGTGCCCGTGCCATAGTCACAATGCGAGAATATAGCAAACGACAAGCAGGTGAACAAAAATACCTTTGAAAACATTAAAAAAGATCGGGGTAACAATACCCAACAGTTGAAAGAAGCCAAGAAACTTCATGCGGAAGCGGGCGTCCATGAAGGACCTTGCGGCTTGGAGGAAATTACAAAATTTCAAGAGCACCTGGGTCCTCAAGGATTTAGAATTATCGTCGTGGATGCCTCTAAAGACGGTGTGATTTTTAAAGGGGATACATTTCTGGAAGCTGAGAAATTGATTGCTCTGGTGAAATCGGTGTACGTGGATGAGAACGATGATGTGCAAGCGCACTACGATGGGTTGTATTCGATACCAGGGTTCATGAACCGATCCTACTTTTGTAATCGCTGCTGTAAAGGCTACAATACTGAGGACAGCGCCCATCATAACTGTCAAGTTCAAAACTGCCCTGCCTGCAAAAGAAGTAAGTCCAAGGATAAGGATGGATGCCAAGATTTTAAATTATGGGCGAAACCAGATCGAAGTTGTATCAGGTGCAGATGCGAATTTTATGGTGAAGATTGCTTTGTCTATCGTCTCGTACAACATGAGACAGAAGACCCAGCCTTAAAACGAGCGAAACAAAAATGGGAAAAAGATTATTTGGAGGAACTTCCTTCTATAGTTGAATTGAAAAGTGTTTGTGACCAGTTTCGTAAATGCAAGGATTGCCTGGTGTCCTATAAAGTAGACGAAGAATTGGAACACCAATGCCTTCATGCGATGTGCAAACATTGTCTTGAGTATGTAAACATTTATGAACACAAATGCTTTATCACCTCTGAGGAGGAAAAGTGTTTTAAACGAAACGTAAGACAATTAAGAAAAGAGAAACAAACCAACGAGAAACTGGTTGCCAGAGTGGTCGAGGGAGATAGACTGAACGATGATTATTTGGGGGCGATTATTGAGAAAATGATTGAACAACATAAAAAAAAAAGTCCAAGAACTGAAAAATATTAACAAGGGAATCCCGATGGAGGAAATCAAGAGACGTAGAAACGAAGAAGCTTTGAATGAATTACGTGAAAGTGTGATGGAACAATTGGTAAACGAAGGAAAGGATCTTGATGAGATAACATTGGAAATGATCGAGGAACGAGTGGATGCAACCCAACAGAAACAAGCTCAAGGTGTATCAGCCTCAGGACGAGTAATGGTCTTCGGAGATGTTCAATGTATACTCGATAGAACCAGCACATGTCCGTATGACTCTATTTTGACTTTATTTTTCACCACTGGGGTCCAAACCGTGTTCAGACATTTATTAACACAATGTTGCGATGGTCCAACAACAACAAAGAGGAGCTACACATATTCTTTCATAACCTAAAAGGTTTTGATGGCATTTTTATGTTGGATGCTCTGTACAAGATGAATTTAAAAGTTACCAATATCATGGGCACTGGCAAAAAGACATTACATTTCAAGCACAAGCTCCTGGTGTTTAAAGATTGCCTGTCTTTTCTCAACATGCTGCTAACCAATTTCACCAACACATTTGGATTACAAGAATTGAAAAAAGGTTGGTTTCCACATAAGTTTTCCAAGTTGGAAAATTTACAGCATGGAGGCCCGATTCCAGCCCTTCGCTACTATGAACCACAGCAAATGGATGCAAAAAAGAAAAAAGCTTGTGAAGACTGGCATGCTGAAGAAGTTCTCAAAGGAGAGGATTGGAACTTTAAGAAGGAGCTGTTGAGTTACTGCGAGAGTGATGTCAAACTACTCAAAGAGGGCTGTCTAAAGTTTGCAGAGGATATCATACGGGATGCTGGGTTTAATCCACTTTTGCAATGTATCACCATTGCATCCACATGTCATTATTTCTGGCTTAATTTTCAGATAGAACCCAGCACTATTGCGGTGGAGCCTCCTCACGGCTGGGGTGGATTAAAGACATCCCAAAGCAAAGTGGCGTTTCAGTGGTTGTATTACCAAGACAAACAAGCAGATGGAAACAGAATCAAGCACGCCCGCAATGGTTGTGAACAAGTGATTCCAGTAAAACGAGGTAAAGTCAAAGTGGATGGCTATGACCCAAGCACAAAAACAGTCTATGAGTTTCACGGTTGTGAATTTCATGGATGTAGGAAGTGTAAACCTAACAACAGACATGTGAAGACATTTCAGATATGTTTCAAACAACAAAAGTGAAAACAGAACTGTTACGAGCGGCTGGTTACACTGTGATTGAGATGTGGGAGTGTGCGTTTAAGAAAGAATTGAAACAGAACGAAGAACTAAAAGATTTAGTGAAGAACAAGTCATGGGTATAACCATTGGATCCAAGAGAGGCTTTCTACGGCGGACGAACTGGAATGGCCAAATGCTACCTTGCAGTGGAATCAGGAGAAGAGATTTATTATCAAGATTTCACAAGTTTGTATCCAACGATCAACAAATATGGCACGTATCCGACAGGTCATCCACAAATCTTGGTCAATCCAGAGAGTCAAAACATCGATGACTACTTTGGTTTAGCTAAAGTAAGTATCTTAGCCGCGGAAAAAGTGTTTCATCCAGAACTTCCAGGCAAAATGAATGGCAAACTGATGTTTCCATAGTGCAGAAAATGTGTGGAAGAACAATTAGATTGTCCATGGCATAAACGAACGAACCTTTGTCCACATAGTGATGCAGAACGAACACTTCACGGTACATGGTGTACTGAAGAGCTAAAGAAGGCAGTCGAGATAGGTTACAAGATTATGAAAATCCATGAAGTCTGGCATTTCCCCAAAGACCAAAGGAAAGAGGGCTTATCTGCCCCCTATGTGAATTCATGGCTCAAATACAAAACCGAAGCGAGTGGGTGGCCAAAACATTGTGAAACCCAAGAACAGAAAGAACAGTATGTCGAAGACTTTGAGGCTAAAGAAGGAATCAAACTGGAGAACATTCAGAAAAACCCTGGACGGAAACGAGTGGCAAAATCGATGTTAAATTCGTAGGTGTATTGTTTTGTGAATAATTAATGATGTGCGGACGTTCACGGAAACGGGCGAAAACTAATGGTTTATTTACTTTTGTATACTTTCAGCTGTTGGGAAAAATTTGGCGAGAACGAGCATAGACCTCAAATCATAACCATCCAAAACGAAGACGCTTGGCAACGAGTTGTTAAGGACGAAACAGTGGTGGTCAAAGACACTCGTATCTTCAACGACGATGTCTTGGAAGTGAGTGTGATGAAGAAGCAGGACGCGTGTGAAGGAGCGGAGAAAACTAATATTTTCATTGCCAGTTTTACAACTGCTTTGGCACGTCCTAAACTGAATGAAGAATTGCAAAAGCTTGGGAAACAAGTTCTTTACTATGACACGGACTCTGTGATTTATAGATGGAGAGAAGGCCAGCCCTATATCCCCACGGGCAACTTCCTGGGACAAATGACAGATGAACTGGAAGGAGATCCTATTGTGGAGTTTGGATCAACAGGACCGAAATCTTATTGCTATAGAACACAAGGGGATAAAAAAGAATGCAAGAACAAGGGCACCAAGAGTTCTTACAAAATTAATCAGGTGTTGAACTGTGGTTCTATGATGCAGCACATCCAACGGGAGATGACGAACCCATTAGATTCTAAAAGATTGATGGACATTAAAATTAAAACTCATTTTGTAAGAGAGAACACTCATAAAACAGTGAGGTTACAACATTTAGTCAAATTTTTTGTCTAAACTGGGATAAGCGTGTATTAGAACAAGGAGCGGGAAAAACATATCCCTACCGATATGTGCGATTAGGTAGCAACTAAAACACATTTTCTGGATTTGTTAACTAAGATAAGTTGTTGTGTTCAACAAAGAGTGGATTTGAACAATATATGGGTGTGGTTGTATGAAAACCAAACCCTAACGTGAAAACCAACGAAAAAACTAAAAGGGTGAAAATTAACCTCAACCAAAAATACCAAACCCTAACCCTAAGCCTAATTAGCATCTTAACCCTAAGTTGTGAATGCTAACCCTAAGTGCCTAACCCTAATCGTAATTACCATTTTAACCCTAAGTTGTGAATGCTAACCCTAAGTGCCTAACCCTGACCCTAACCCTAATTAGCATTTTAAACCTGAGTTGTGAATGCTAACCCTTAGTGCCTAACCCTAACCCTAATCAGAGAGGGGACTGGAAACGAGTGTGGAAAAAAACCTGCTGACGCAGCCTATTTGTGTTATAAAGAGTGTCGAGATTTAGCAGTGTGTTCAAACCCGTCAAGATGCAACAAGTGTCAATGCATGATTTGGAACATTTTTCATACTGGCAGGAAAAACGTCTCACAAGTTCACACTGGTATAATATTTACAATCCAGTCATTTCTGTCGAGTTGACCGAATTAGCAGACCATGTGGTGGGAAATAATGATGCTGTAGAGGAAATTCAATTGGATCTAACTGTTCAACAGCACCGCGTCCCCGCATGGAACGAGAGTTTATTGATGTCAATGAGCGATGCTTTATTACGGTCACTTCAGCGATGGATTACAGACCATGGGTACCCTATGAGAACGTTATGTTATCTCTCACTCCAAGCTGTGGAACCACTACCACTACGAATAACTAGATGTTTAGGCGTGCTAACAAATATTCCAGGGTTTACTTTCTTTCCATGGACTGTGTCCATTACAACTTCACGCCGATTTAAGTGTGTACCCCAAATTTTGGGGTTATCAAGTATTCATATATTCAGGCTATTGTTCTTGCCATTGTCGATTACCTTCCGAAGAATCCACGAGCGGAATTCCTTTGATTTAGGTGCGATATGTCTCTTTTGTTTCGAATTTTGTTGCTTGATTGACTTTTTAATCCCCATTGTTACCTGATGAGTATTAAATTTATCCATTAAAACACTCGGACTTGCCTGTTAAATCTGCTGCAGTCCGAGGGAACGCTTACAAGTCTTTTAAGCGTGGCGGACAACTCTGGTTGCATAACATATTTTCGGTCACGCACCGTATTACAAAGGAAACAAGCCTGATAAATTTGAAGTTGTTTAAAGCTTATAAATACCTGGTCTACAATAGTATTTTTTTATTAAATACTCTCTTGCCTTGAAAATAATTTGGCGTTTAAAAAATTGCTGCGGAAGTTATTTATTAGAATCTTTCATTCATTCATTCAGTAGCTCTGCAATCAAGAGCGAACAACTCTTTTCAAAATGTAAACAACGCAAGCGGTGAATGCATTTAACGGGATGACACAGTTTTATTAGAGTGTAATTTCACTTTTTTGGATGTTTTCGCTTGCGTTTCAGTTACGTGACTGCAGGGCCCGAAATAACGCGTATTGTCAGTTCACCGATTTGCATGACAACTTGATTCGCGGAGTAGTCGAGTGAGACGGGAAATATCTAAAATCAAAACAAGAGCTGTAATCGACAGATCAAAACTTGCGGAGTTCATAATTCCTCGAAATAATTTTGTAGAAACGCTTGTATAGTTTCATTGCTCTGGAGAAATGAATAACTGTTATGATTGAATGAATGGATAACTCTCGGCCGGATTTTATTAAGCGATAGGCGAGAAAAAATGCTTGAGCGGCTTGCTTTGTACTTCGAAACCTCGGCAAGAAAAAAAATCCAATCTCGGTCCACAGTGGTCGAGATTTCTCGTTCAAGATCTCTTTTTGAAGCTCTCAAAATTCTACTTTTTGAAAAATACGTGTCCAAGTCGAAGAAGTTTTGCGAAAGACTTAAATCCATAAACTTCTACCGCAATATGTGCGATAATTCTCTGCAGTTTTATTGACACAGTTAGAACAAAAGGATACCATTAAAACTTCGCGGCCCTGGGCAGCTTAATTAAGCCATTGTTCAATTCCTTTGAATTCCCTTCTGAGTCTTCCGCCATAAAATCTCACCTTCTTTAAACCGAGTCAAAACGAGCACTCTCGAAGGGAAAGTCCGGAGGAATAAATTGAGCCTTCAGGGTACAAAATCCAGCGGTTATGCCCATTTCTGAAATACACACTTAAATCGGCGTGAAGTTGTAATGCACTCACAAAAACTTTATTAGCCATGTTGGACTGGCTAAGTCAAAAATGGTTGATGGCCCAACTATAAACACCATGCATGGAATTTAAATTAGTCATCACCTTGATTCATCATGATAATAGGGAGTGACGTCATAGACAGAGAACAATACTTTAACCGAACAAGACCATTGACGTCATAGAAGGAGAACAATACTTTGTCTGAACATGTCCAAGTTCCCGAGGGTATTTAGACCTGGACATAAATTCAAGTTGTGATTGTCGAGAGTGTAAAAACGTGAAGACCTTATCATCAGAGAAATGGCTGGAAAATTGGTCGACTTTTCCTTCGATGGTGAGTTGAATTGGAAAGATGTGGAGACTTACAAGCAAAACTTCAGCAAAAGCAGGACAGCCTTCCAGAATTCAACGTCTCTTTCTCACTAATTGGAAAAGCTAAACCCAGAAACGAAGGTTCAGCAGACAAGGAATTCATTCTACTGAAGGTAAACATTAACGAAGATATCAAACCAGGGAAGATTTATTCCAAATTCATGGCTCTGGGAAATCGCCTGATGGGAGAGATTGGATTGTTGACGCTTGCACGACCGTTTACTGACAAGACATTGATGGATATATATGTAGGACGACCAAAGGACAAGCCATTTTTACAGATTACAAACATTCTATTGTATTAAGGTTCTTTTCTTTCTTAAAAAAAAGCGTTATTATAAGGTTAACCAAGCTATCATGTGTTGTATATCACAATTCACTACGGGTGTAACTAGGTTGTAAGATCAATAAAACTAGACATTGATTCAGTTCAACATTGTGTTCATTCGCTGGGTGTTTCTAATTTAGTACAGAGTTGGGCATATTTGGACTGCAATTCAGTTAATTCTTGCTGGAATTGAGCCATGGTAGATTTCTTAGCTTTTTGGGTTTTCTTGAGCTGCTGTCGATCCCCTTGTCGTTGAACCAGAAGTGCTTGATTACTGTCTTGATCTTCAGTGAGTTTCTTTTGTTCCTCCTGAATCATTTGGTCCAAAATAGTAAACACATTAGACTTGATCACAAGCCGCATTGACAATTTTCTGAGCTTCAGGTGAACTCATCTTAGGATAAGGTTTAATTGATTTCATTCGTTGCGGAAAGGTGCTATTCTTGAGATGTTTTCTAAAGTTTTTGATAGCCTGTTCACGGTACCGTATCCTGGCTTTGATGGTCATGAGTTTCTGTCGATACTGTTTCAACTTGGTCTTGACAGGTTTTTCTGAAGGTTCAGACTTAACAGGGGGTTCTTCGACAGTCATAGTGCACATGTTACCTCGACGCGATCGAACGTGAAAATGATAGCTGTTGACAATCGTTCATTCTATTTATAGCCTAGGATGAGGTCTGAAAAGGTACAAAAGACAGGTGAGTCCTTATCGAATCATCATTCCTAAAATTTATTTTACTCTTTCTTCTCGCTATTTTTCTCGTATTTATTAGTATTACTTCGTTACTGATTTAATTAGAACGAGAAGAAAGAGTAAAATAAACTTAAGGCAGGGGTTGAACTTTCGACCTCACCTTTACGATGTGTCTGCCCTGACATGTCTAAGTGACGTCATTGCCCAAGCATGCCCGTCTTCTGTCATCGAATAATAACGTCATTGCGCTAAATAACATAATCAACAATTCACCGTTTAAAATCTGTGGTTTATTTCACTCTTTAACAATTATTCATAAACAATCTAGGGTCCAAATCTCTGTCTTTTAGCAAGAGAGTTTAGCTCGTGTGCATAGCTATGTCTTTTAGCAATAGAGTTTAACGGGTCGTCATCAGAGCTAAGCTGGTCCTCATCGAAGGGAAACTGGTCCTCGTCAGAGTTCAGAGTCTCCTATGTTGGCGTTACAATAAACTTTGGTTTATAGACGCTCGGTTTCACTTGTTTCTTTTGCATTTGAGTGCGTTTGCCCTTGACTGGTTTTGCTTTGAGTTTTCGTTTCGTTGATGTCACCTGTTTCTTTTCAGGTTGTTTTGGCCGTTTGCTTTTGACTTCTGGCTGATCAATAGACCTTTTTCGAGAGACCGTTTCAGGTGTACATAAGGTTTCCTCTGGTAACGTCTTGGTACTTGTAATCATGTTGGGATAGCAGTGACAAGTACCAAACACATCAGCCACGACTTGTTTATCGGTCGTGGTTTTTGGCTGATTATCAATCAACACATACCCATAAGGCTTCTCGGTTTCTTTCGTGTAAGCAGACATAAATGCTGTACGAATCAAAAATTCTCTCAGCCACAATACCAATCTGTTTTTTGTCACTCGGACTGCAAAACAACACCATGTACTGGGCATTTCTTCTAATATCTTTGTTGAATCTCCCTTTCGGAAACATATTTTGTAGCAATAATATCACGCTGGCATTGCGGTGCCTGCCTTGCGTAAACAAGAGAGAAAGCACTGGGCTTTCTGTAGCTTGTGACATCAAATCATCAAACACGAACACATTGTTCAACTTTGGATTGATCTCGCCAAGATTTTCGCTCATGTCTGGTAAGCCTTGAGTAAACACTATCTCATCGCCCAGTTTTGATTTCAAGGACATATAGCGACTTTGCCACTGATTGTAAAACCAGAAAATACGTCTGGGTTTCTCACTAGGGTACTTGACACAGGGTACAGTTCGCAACTGCTCCACAAAAAATGTTTTACCGCCCTGACTTGGTCCTACCTCGCGCATCGAGAACATGTGATTGAACTTAAAGTCTGAGTAGGGTTTTGTTTGAAGGCAATTGCTCTATACTTTCATAGCCGGTCTTGGAAGCTGTCGGGGTTGAGGGTGAATACTTAAAAGCTGTGACGGCATTCCCTGTTGGGTATACAATCCCTGAGGTACATCTGTTGAGACTAAGTTTGGTGATAACTAAGAAGTCACTGGATGAGAAAATATCGCTGACTTTAACAGTGGTTGTCGTTCTTCACTGTATAGGTTATGCACTTGACGTAAATGATCCGCTAAGTAAAGACTGGCAGACTTTTCCAACCTATAACAAATTTTGTTGTAGACTTTTCATTACATTACAATTTTAGTTGTAGGCTTTAACTGCAATCCACTACTCCTCATAGAAAGAAATGTTCATGAGCAGTCCTCTGTTTAAGTTTTGTTTCATTGTTAACTGATCTGCTAAGGCCTCTGAGATTTCGTCCATGGTTTTATAAGACCACTCGTCTGGTGAGAATTCACAAGTATATGTGACGTCAGCGTGTTCCCTTGATGAAGCTTCTACTTTAATGAGGGTTGTCTTAGGTGTTTTTCGCTGTTCAATAATAGCATTCAACCCATGATAAAAAGGATACACCACTTCAAAATCCCAATTGCGAGTCCCTGGTTTTCTTGGAGATAATTGATGAAGGTCTACCACATAAAAATCTGTTCCGTTCACTCTTGTATAGGAGGCTTTAAACACTGGAAAATCTATCGCCAATTCTAGCCATGCTAGTTAGTCACTGTCTTCTCCTTTCTGGTTCTCAACGTTCGAAGTCAGAGTATTAGTCTGATCTCTCTGTGCACGTTCTGTGCCTCTAACTCTTCTTAATCTCTGTCCCATTCTCGTTGTTCTGCAGGTGTCCAGTCGCTATACCCACCTATCCACATGATGGCTTGTGATAACATGATGATTCGATTAGGACTCACCTGTCTTTTATACCTTTTCAGACCTCATCCTAGGCTATAAATAGAATGAACGATTGTCAACAGCTATCATTTTCACGTTCAATCGCCTCGAGGTAACATGTGCACTATGACTGTCGAAGAACCCCCTGTTAAGTCTGAACCTTCAGAAAAATCTGTCAAGACCAAGTTGAAACAGTATCGACAGAAACTCATGGCCATCAAAGCCAGGATACGGTACCGTGAACAGGCTATCAAAAACTTTAGAAAACATCTCAAGAATGGCACCTTTCCGCAACGAATGAAATCAATTAAACCTTATCCCAAGATGAGTTCACCTGAAGCTCAGAACATTGTCAATGCGGCTTGTGATCAAGTCCAATGTGTTATTTTGGACCAAATGATTCAGAAGGAACAAAAGTTTCTCTCTGAAGATCAAAACAGTTATCAAGCGCTCCTGGTTCAACGACAAGGGGATCGACAGCAGCTCACGAAACCCCAAAAACCTAAGAAAACTACCATGGCTCAATTCCAGCAAGAATTAACTGAATTGCAGTCCAAATATGCCCAACTCTGTACTAAATTAGAAACACCCAGTGAATGAACACACAATGTTGAACTGAATCAATGTCTAGTTTTATTGATCTTACAAGGTAGTTACACCGGTAGTGAATTGTGATATACAACACAAACTCCGTTGAGTCAAGCTCTTCCCATCTTGAAATGAGTGCTTTTGCAATCATATCCATGATAGCTTGGTTAATCTTATAATAACACATTGTTTAATACAATAGAATGTTTGCAATCTGTAAAAATGGCTTTCCTTTGGTCGTCCTACATCTATATCCATCAATGTCTTGTCAGTAAACGGTCGTGCAAGTGTCAACAATCCAATCTCTCCCATCAGGCGATTTCCCAGAGCCATGACTTAATAATAATAAATCTTTCCTGGTTTGATATCTTCGTTAATGTTTACCTTCAGTAGAATGAATTCCTTGTCTGCTGAACCTTCTTTTGTGGGTTTGGCTGTTCCAATTAGTGAGAAAGAGACGTTGAATTCTGGAAGGCTGTCCTGCTTTTGCTGAAGTTTTGCTTGTAAAAAAGGTAAAGATTCAAGTCTTTGACGATAAGTCCCCACTTCTTTCCAATTCAACTCACCATCGAAGGAAAAGTCAACCAATTTTCCAGCCATTTCTCTGATGATAAGGTCTTCACGTTTTCAGACTCTTGAAAAAAGTATTGTTCTCCTTCTATGACGTCAATGGGCTTGTTCGGTTAAAGTATTGTTCTCTGTCTATGACGTCACTCCCTATTATCATGATGAATCAAGGTGATGACTAATTTAAATTCCATGCATGGTGTTTATAGTTGGGCCATCAACCATTTTTGACTTAGCCAGTCCAACATGGCTAATAAAGTTTTTGTGACTGACACTTTCCATGGAAAGAAAGTAAACATTGGAATATTTGTTAGCACGCCTAAACATCTGGTTATTCGTAGTGGTAGTGGTTCCACAGCTTGGAGTGAGAGATAACATAACGTTCTCATAGGGTACCCATGGTTTGTAATCCATCGCTGAAGTGACGGTAATAAAGCATCGCTCATTGACATCAATAAACTCTCGTTCCATGCGGGGACGCGGTGCTGTTGAACGGTTAGATCCAACTGAATTTCCTCTACAGCATCATTATTTCCCACCAAACGGTCTGCTAATTCGGTCAACTCGACAGAAATGACTGGATGGTAAATATTATACCAGTGTGAACTTGTGAGACGTTTTTCCTGCCAGCATGAAAATTGTTCCAAATCATGCATTGACACTTGTTGCATCTTGACGGGTTTGAACACACTACTAAATCTCGACACTCTTTATAACACAAATAGGCTGCGTCAGCAGGTTTTTTTCCACACTCGTTTCCAGTCCCCTCTCTGATTAGGGTTAGGGTTAGGCACTAAGGGTTAGCATTCACAACTCAGGATTAAAATGCTAATTAGGGTTAGGGTTAGGGTTAGGCACTTAGGGTTAGCATTCACAACTCAGGTTTAAAATGCTAATTAGGGTTAGGGTTAGGGTTAGGCACTAAGGGTTAGCATTCACAACTCAGGTTTAAAATGCTAATTAGGGTTAGGGTCAGGGTTAGGCACTAAGGGTTAGCATTCACAACTCAGGTTTAAAATGCTAATTAGGGTTAGGGTTAGGGTTAGGCACTAAGGGTTAGCATTCACAACTCAGGTTTAAAATGCTAATTAGGGTTAGGGTCAGGGTTAGGCACTTAGGGTTAGCATTCACAACTTAGGGTTAAAATGGTAATTACGATTAGGGTTAGGCACTTAGGGTTAGCATTCACAACTTAGGGTTAAAATGCTAATTAGGCTTAGGGTTAGGGTTTGGTATTTTTGGTTGAGGTTAATTTTCACCCTTTTAGTTTTTTCGTTGGTTTTCACGTTAGGGTTTGGTTTTCATACAACCACACCCATATATTGTTCAAATCCACTCTTTGTTGAACACAACAACTTATCTTAGTTCACAAATCCAGAAAATGTGTTTTAGTTGCTACCTAATCGCTCATATTCGTAGGGATATGTTTTTTCCGCTCCTTGTTCTTATACACGCTTATCCCAGTTTAGACAAAAAATTTGACTAAATGTTGTAACCTCACTGTTTTATGAGTGTTCTCTCTTACAAAATGAGTTTTAATTTCAATGTCCATCAATCTTCTAGAATCTAATGGGTTCGTCATCTCCCGTTGGATGCGGAGCATCATAGAACCACAGTTCAACACCTGATTAATTTTGTAGGATCTCTTGGTGCCCTTGTTCTTGCATTCTTTTTTACCCCCTTGTGTTCTCTAGCAATAAGATTTCGGTCCTGCTGATCCGAACTCCACAATAGGATCTCCTTCCACTTTATCTGTCATTTGTCCCAGGAAGACGCCAGTGGGGATATAGGGCTGGCCTTCTCTCCATCTATAAATCTCAGAGTCTGTGTCATAGTAATGAACTTTTCCCCCCAGCTTTTGCAATTCTTCACACAGTTTGAGACGTACCAAAGCAGTTGTAAAACTAGCAATGAAAATATTAGCTTTCCCCGCTCCTTCACATCACACTCACTTCCAAGACATCTTCGTTGAAGACATGAGTGTCTTTGACAACCACTGTTTCGTCCTTAACATTTCGTTGCCAAGCGTCTTCGTTTTGGATGGCTATGATTTGAGGTCTATGCTCGTTCTCGCCAAATTTTTCCCAAAAGCTGAAAGTGTACAAAAGTAAACAAACCGTTAGTATTCGCCCGTTTCCGAGAACGTCCGCACATCATTAATTATTTACAAAACAATATACGTACGAATTTAACATCAGTTTTGCCACTTGTTTCCGTCACGGGTTTTTCTGAATGTTCTCCAGTTTGATCCCTTCTTTAGCCTCAAAATCTTCGACCTATTGATCTTTCTGTTCTTGGGTGTCACAATGTTTTGCCCACCCTTTCGCTTCGGTTTTGTATTTGAACGATGAATTCACATAGGGGGCAAATAAGCCCTCTTTCCTGTGGCCTTTGGGGAAATGCCAGAATTCATGGATTTTCATAATCTTGTAACCTATCTCCACTGCCTTCTTCAGCACACCATGTCCCGCGAAGTGTTCGTTCTGCATCACTATGTGGACAGAGGTTCGTTCGTTCATGCCATGTACGATCTACTTGTTCTTCCACACATTTTCTGCATTAGTTCTGGATGATCCACTTTTTCCGCGGCTAAGATACTTACTTTAGCTAAACCAAAGTAATCATCGACGTTTTAACTCTCTGGATTGAACAAGATTTGTGGATGACCTGTCGGATACGTGCCATATTTGTTGATCGTTGGATACAAACTTGTGAAATCTTGATAATAAATCTCTTCTCCTGATTCCACTGCAAGGTAGCATTTGGCCATTCCAGTTCGTCCGCCGTAGAAAGGCTCTCTTGGATCCAATGGTTATATCCATGACTTGTTCTTCACTAAATCTTTTAGTTCTTCGTTCTGTTTCAATTCTTTCTTAAACGCACACTCCCACATCTCAATCACAGTGTAACCAGCCGCTCGTAACAGTTCTGTTTTCACTTTTGTTGTTTGAAACATCTCTGAAATGTCTTCACATGTCTGTTGTTAGGTTTACACTTCCTACATCCATGAAATTCACAACCGTGAAACTCATAGACTGTTTTTGTGCTTGGGTCATAGCCATCCACTTTGACTTTACCTCGATTTACTGGAATCACTTGTTCACAACCATTGCGGGCGTGCTTGATTCTGTTTCCACCTGACTGTTTGTCTTGGTAATACAGCCACTGAAACGCCACTTTGCTTTGGGATGTCTTTAATCCACCCCAGCCGTGAGGAGGCTCCACCGCAATAGTGCTGGGTTCCATCTGAAAATTAAGCCAGAAATAATGACATGTGGATGCAATGGTGATACAAGTGGATTAAACCCAGCATCTCGTATGGTATCCTCTGCAAACTTTAGACAGCCCTCTTTGAGTAGTTTGACATCACTCTCGCAGTAACTCAACAGCTCCTTCTTAAAGTTCCAATTCTCTCCTTTGAGAACTTCTTCAGCATGCCAGTCTTCACAAGCATTTTTCTTTTTTGCATCCATATGCTGTGGTTCATAGTAGCGAAGGGCTGGAATCGGGCCTTCATGCTGTAGATTTTCCAACTTGGAAAACTTATGTGGAAACCAACCTTTTTTCAATTCTTGTAATCCAAATGTGTTGGTGAAATTGGTCAGCGGCATGTTGAGATAAGACAGGCAATCTTTAAACACCAGGCTCATGTGCTTGAAATGTAATGTCTTTGTGCCAGTGCCCATCAGAGAGTACAGAGCATCCAACATAAAAATCCCATCAAAACCTTTCAGGTTATGAAAGAATATGTGTAGTTCCTCTTTGTTGTTATTGGACCATCGCAACACTGTGTTAATAAATGTCTGAACACAGTTTGGACCCCAGTGGTGAAAAATAGAGTCATTATCCTCCCGTGCATAGCAGATCAGCATAGGGACAAATGTGTTGGTTCTATTGAGTAAACATTCAACATCTGCAAAGACCATTACTCGTCCTTGGGTTGATACACCTTGAGCTTGTTTCTGTTGGGTTGCATTCACTCGTACTTCACTTCACGTAAATTATTCAAAGCTTCTTCGTTTCTACGTCTCTTGATTTCCTCCAATTGGATTCCCTTGTTGATATTTTCCAGTTCTTGGACTTTTCTTTTTACGTTGTTCAATCATTTTCTCAATAATTGCCCCCAAATAATCATCGTTCAGTCTATCTCCCTCAGCCACTGTGGCAACCAGTTTCTCGTTGGTTTGTTTCTCTTTTCTTAATTGTCTTACGTTCCGTTTAAAACACTTTTCCTCCTCAGAGGTAATAAAGCATTTGTGTTCATAAATATTTCCATACTCAGGACAATGTTTGCGCATCGCATGAAGGCATTTGTGTTCGAATTCTTCGTTTACTTTATAGGACAGCAGGCAATCCTTGCATTTACGAAACTGGTCACAAACACTTTTCAATTCAACTATAGAAGGAAGTTCCTCCCTATACTCTTTTTCCCATTTTTGTTTCGCTCGTTTTAGGGCTGGGTCTTCTGTCTCATGTTGTACGAGATGATAGACCAAGCAATCTTCGCGTCTGCACCTGATACAACTTCGATCTGGTTTCGCCCATAATTTAAAATCTTGGCATCCATCCTTATCCTTGGATTTACTTTTTTTGCAGGCAGGGCAGTTCTGAGCTTGACAGTTATGATGGGCGCTGTCCTCAGTATAGTAGCCTTTACAGCAGCGATCACAAAAGTAGGATCGGTTCATGAATTCTGGTATCGAATACAACTCACCGTAGTGCACTTTCACATCATCGTTCTCATCCACGTACACCGATTTCACCAGAGCAATCAATTTCTCAGCTTCCAGAAATGTATCCCCTTTAAAAATCACACCGATAATTCTAAATCCTTGAGGACCCAGGTGCTCTTGGAATTTTGTAATTTCCTCCAAGCCACAAGGTCCTTCATGGACGCCCGCTTCAGCATGAAGTTTCTTGGCTTCTTTCAACTGTTGGGTATTGTTACCCCGATCTTTTTTAATTTTTTCAAAGGTATTTTGTTCACCTGCTTGTCCTTTGCTATTAATATTCTCGCATTGTGACTATGGCAAGGGCACAGCACAATCATCTTTATAATAATAATAATAATAACAATAAGAATAATAATAATATTTATAGAGGGAGCCCAACTCGCCAAGGCGGTTTTCAGTGAGGCCCTCATGCATTTATCGAACTAATTAATTAATTATTACGAAAAAAGGAAAATATGTTTACAAGTAAAACAAACTTCAAAATTTAAAATCTTAAAATTGATTATACAAAAAATATCAAGGTTTAAAATTAGCTGAGATCTTTTAAAAAAGTTTTTAACTTGGATTTAAAAATAGATAAAATATTACACTCTTTTAAATCATTTGGAAGGCTGTTCCAGTCTTTCGCGGCGTGAAGAATAAAAGTTTCTTTACCCCAGTTTGTTCTGGGTAGGGGTAAGCTAATATCATTAGAGCGTCTTGTATTATATGAATGAACAGCTTAAGTTTTGATAAAATTAAAGTTGAAATCGGTTTCTCCAATAAGACACTTGTGGATTGCAATGCAGCGATGAAAAAACCTTCTTGTGGACAGTGACTTCAGATCTAGACTCTTCAGTGCTTCAGTTGACGAGCTTCGGGGTGGTTGCCCCAGCATAACTTTAGCAGCTTTATTCTGTAGAATCTGTAATTCTGACATAATGGTGTCATTGTTCTTGTCCCCCCATATAACGTCTCCGTAACCAAAAAGAGGGAGTATTAGGGCATTGCACAAGGCAACTCTAGCTTGTAGCGGCAATAGATTCCTGATTCTCCTAATTAGGCCTATTCTCTGATTAATCTTCATGCTGATAGCATCGACATGAACTGCCCAGGACATAGACTGTTGAAGCGTTATTTTTAATCTCGCACACACATCTTGATTCTTTGGCTATGTGTTCCCAAATTTTTTGTCGTGGACCACCGCCTGCCCTTTTACCACCTTTCATTTCAGGGCGAGCGAAAAGAATCAATGCAGAAAATCCCACATCGTTGGTAATAAACTGTCCACACACTAGTTAGGTTCTCCAACATTGCTTGTGTACAGAGAGCTCTCTCTGTAAAGTCACCGACTGGTACTTTCCAAGTCTCTCCCTTCAATCGTCCTTCTTTTCTATGCTTTCTGCTGCCATTTTGAAGTGTCGTGAGATAGTCATCGGGGATTTGTTGGTCGTTAATCAGATTGTCCATGGCAACGGCCAAGGCATGTGTGGCGCTAAAGTTTAAATCTGCGCTTCTCTTGGTCAACTTTTTTGGTTTACGTTATGATGAACTTTTGATTAACCAATGCATTTTCCTTCCAACGCTTTGCTGGTCGTAACTTTTTAAAATCAGCTACATAGAGTGGATCTGGACCACCAGCGTATTCGTCAGTAGGCTCTGTTACTGGATCAACTGCCTCTGGTTTAGGGACTTTCACATCATATTTGGTATCCTCTTCAGCAGCTTTGCGTTTCGTACCGCGGGTAGTCTCAGCACTGCCAAGTTATGAATCAATATGCGGTATCTTGTTGGAATGAAGAAGTTCCATGCTTTCTTCAGCTTTCCGGTTGGCTCCTTCAGAATGAAACTTACGGATATAACTTAACATATTGTCTTTCCTTTTAAATGTTGACTCACAGTATCAACATGAAACAGGTTCTGTTTTCTTTCCACCAAATTTTCTGTGACATGAAAAGTCAAATCTGTTTTTGTTCTTTTTTCCACAGGTAGGACATAGTCTTGGATGGTTGGGTAGGTTGATGAGCTCTAATCAGTACAACGTATCGTAATCAAATGCATTGTGTTTACGTTGCCCTTCCTTTTATACATTGCAGAACAATAGATATAGCGGGCATGCACAATCTTGCCCACTCACGAAAGCATGACATAGTCTAAAAATAGAAACAAATTATACTAAGTCAGTAAATCAATGAGTGACGTCACTGGGCTTGTCTAAACTTGCCCGCCTCCATTAGCATAGTTAATCAACCGTAACTCCTTCAAGCATTACCTTTACTCGACTTAGGGTTAGCAATGATCTCAAGATTAGGGATAGCAGTAAACTCTACTTGATTAGGGTTAAACAAATGAACTCAAGGTTAGGGTTAAGCATTGCACTCGAGAGATGTAGGGTTAGGCACTGCAGTCGAGAGATTTAGGGTTAGCATTTGAACTCAAGGTTAGGGTTATGCATTGCACTTGAGAGATTTAGGGTTAAGCACTGCACTCGAGAGATTTAGAGTTAGACATTTGAACTCAGCAATGGGTGAAGTCCAGATATCCAATAAAAACATCACTTGGTTCGCGTCCTTAGTAACAGTATCTATGTGATACAAAATGCTGCCCTTTAAAAAATGTTGCCCCTTTTTGTCCGACTATAGACCCCAATTTTCTTCTAACTCCAAATTAACCAATCAGGCTTCTAAAGCACAGAGAAAACCATTTAAGACACTTCTGGCGTATTTGGAAACAGTGGGCCGTTGGGTGCCCCTGATCAAGTGCCACTATCTACTAGTAGTGGGTCGACTATCATGGATCTCTAGCTGTTTCGATCTTCAGCTCTAGATATTCTTACACATCCATTATAGGTGTGTCCTAACCATTCTTTGATGTTTTTCATCCAGGTAACGTTTGGTCTCCCCCGTCCTCTCTTCCCTGCAATTTTGTCTTCCAGTAACAATTTTTGGATCGACCACGCACGCTCTTATTACGTGTTCAAAATACTGACATTTTCTTTTCATTAATTATTGCTGGTAATGATGAACTTGTGGTATCTGCCACCTTTAAAACTTCTTGTTTGGTTTTATGTTCCGTCCATGATACTCTTAACATTCTTCAATACGCCCACATCTCGTGTTTGTTTTATCATATAAAACAAATACGATAAATTCAAATTGCTTACCTTAATTTGGTACGTTCCTTCTTGTAGAAAGGTATCGAAACTAGTGTTGAAATAGCGTTCCTGACAATCCATTGGCAAGTCCTTATGAACCAAAATCCTTTGCTCACCAAAGCTCACATATAAGCGCATTGGACATCCAGAACAGTACAATCCACGGCAGCAATATTTGTAATTGGCTATACGGTTAAAGAAGAGAAAACTACTCGAAAGTGTAAACCGGTTAATCAATACACGCGGACGTATTATCCGGAACTTTTCGTTACAAAAAGTTTTTGATACTCTTTTAATGTATAGCATTTAGAAGTATAGTAGCTGTACTGTCCAAATTAACGTTAATGGTTTTCCACCACTAAACAAAAGTTTTGCTACAAGAACAAAAAAAAGGGAAATTAGCGATACGATTAAGTTACAACTTTCACATACGAGTAATTACTGTTATGCGAAAATAGCTACCTAGAAATACCTTGAATTAGAAGTTTTTGGCCAGTCTTGAGAGTAATCTTTTTAGGAACAGACGATATTTGAAAGTCTAAGTATCCAAAACCTGTGTGAATTGCAAATTGTATATAAAAATAAAGCATAGTGCGAATCCTTCGTAATCCGAACAGAAGAGAAATCAATGTTTTACAACTACGAACTGCGGTCAAGATATCCATTTATCCGATCGGTAACAAGAGTGTTCAGAAACGACATAAACTACTAGGATTATTTAAACGGCCATTGCGGAACCACGTCCCTTGTACCACTTGTCATGCTCTGTTTTAACGGCCATAAACAACTTTGGCAGCTTATTCGTGCAGGGGGAAGAGACTTTTCGCACCATACCCGAACTACAAAATTTCAGTCAAACAGATCAAAAACTGAACAAAAAAAGGTAGAGTTCACTGGAAATTTAACTAGAAACCGCCGTTTAAGAGAAACAATCCGTTGGCAGACATGCGCAGACACGCACAATTTCCGGCTTCTAAAGGTGTCCTCGTTCAGTAGTATCAACTACATGAAATTATTTACCTGGCTTCACCCAGAATAAGTGATCCTCAGTTATTGGGCCTATAAATGTCCCATTTGGTAGCTTCATTCCAACGGATGCACAATCTTTTCCTACAAATTGCCTCATTAATAACTCCAAAGAGTACGATTGGCATTTACTCAACCAGATCTCTTTGGATGTTTGCTGAGAGGGAGATCTAAAGAAATTTACAAATATCAGTGGGTAAGAATGATAATGTTACCAATAAAAAACTTATAGTCAAATATTAAGGTGGCCTTAGAAACGTACACAGCAGTCATCTGAATTGACCGATTGCGCAATATAAAACAAAGGAAGTGTTGACAACATAGTGCAGGACCGTAGGTCGGGAACCATAAGAAATCCCTGGAACTTATTACTCGCACGTCATCTCGCTAATTCATATGACATTTTATTCCGACAGGCGCAATTAACACAATCAAAATATGCTTTTGTCCCCAAACGTTAACCGGAACCTCCGTAAATGCACCATCGATTTTATTTTAAAAATTACAAATGTTTTTTCAAACACAGCATCTTCAGAACACTGGTCCACTTTACTTAAATTTATTTAAATTGTGTGGGCCGCGCCGAAACGTTTCTTTGTAACTACCACGTAAAACCAAAACCAAACTCCAGGTGCCAAGCAGAAGGCCGCGCGCGAGGAGAACGCGAGACCACAAAAGTATTGTTTTCGAAATGTAACCGCATTAGCAGACATTCTCCGTGAACGGATCGCAACAATATTGTTCTAAATAAATATCAAAAAGAAAAAGAAAAGCCTTCTTCCGAATAAACGGTTACGTACTGTGCTTTCCAGTTTCCAGGACGTACTAAAAGTGCCGGAAATGGGAATTTTGCTACGCTTGTTTTATTTGTAACGAGAAGACAAATCTTTTCAACAAAAAAAATTGGCGGAGGGTCTCCTACAAGAAAATTTCGTATTAAAAAACACTCTAAGACACACATATAGCTTTTATAGCTTTTATAATACCTTGGTGTCAAACTCACAGAATCACGGGCGTGCCACGTAGTGTTTCTGTTGCATGATAAAACTCGCACTTGGGAGTTTAGAACACCATGGCATTACAATAAAACTCGCTTACTCAAGCTTAAACATATTAACCTTTAAATATTCACTTGGTGCGCGAGTAATTTCATAATACGGTGGTGACTAACTCACAGAATCAAGGGCGCCACCTAGAGTTTCTGTTGCTTTAAAAATCGCACTTAGGAGTTTAGAAAACTATGGCATTACAATAAAACTCGCTTCTTGAAGTCATAACAATGATATCAGTTTTATCAACCCTTAATTCCTTCTGTGCACAAGTGATTTAATAATACCGTGGTGTCTAACTCACAGAATCACGGGCGTGCCACCTGGTGTTTCTGTTACTTTAAAAATCGCACTTAGGAATTTAGAACACTATGGCATTACAATAAAACTCGCTTACTCAAGCTAAAACATATTAACCTTTAAATTTCCACTCGGTGCGCAAGTAATTTCATAATACCGTGGTGTCTAACTCACAGAATCACAGGTGTGCCACCTAGTTTTTCTGTTACTTTAAAAATCGCACTTAGGGATTTTGAACACCATGGCATTACAATAAAACTCGTTTACCCAAGCTAAAACATATTAACCTTTAAATTTCCACTCGGTGCGCAAGTAATTTCGCAATACCGTGGTGTCTAACGTACAGAATCATGGGCGTGCCACCTAGTGTTTCTGTTGCTTTAAAAATCGCATTTAGGAGTTAAGAACACCATGGCATTTCAATAAAACTCGTTTACCCAAGCTAAAACATATTAAGAGTGATTTTCTGTAAAATTCGAACTTCGGCCTGACACGGTACCTCATCGATTTGGCTGATTTTTGGCATGTAGTCTTAGAATGGTGTCCTAAATACTGAATGCATATTCTAAGGTTCGAATTCTCGTTGGTTTCAAAGATACAGGAATGACAGTTTTGACGAGGCCTCGAGCGGCCGCCATGTTGGTGAACTGAAGGAGATTTACAGTAATTAATTCTAGCCTTATCATTAAAATAACTTAATCGTGACTCATACAGTTGCAAAGAACTATCCTTCCTCCTTTCATTTACCTACTCTTATCTGAAAATGGTTAAGCCTGAGCTACGAACGGCTATAACTTCTCACAGCACTTTTTCGGTACTTTAAAGGTACACGAATTTGGTAGAAATTGGAAGGCCAATATCACCCATGCCACATCGATTTAGACTAAGCCATTTTAACTAAACATAGTTTGTTTATAGCTAAGTTAGATTGTTGAATAAAATAATTGGGCAAATGCAACGGAACAGAAATATGATTGCATGAATGCGCAGTGGTTCAGCCACTTGGCCGCTAAAACTTCAAAACAAAATTCGGTGAATATTTGAAAAGAAAATTCTTTAAAAATTGATCGTGCCTCTTAAACCCTATCTATCGCTTAAAAAAACCCCCCTTGTAATGTAAACAGATGATCTTTTGATTCTGATCTTGCGAAGAGCTTTAAATATGCGCTAAAATGAAAATTATAAATTTTGTTACACACGGTACTAGCTCAAGTTCGCTCTTCGATTTCCCAGACCAATCGGGAGCCGCTCGTGTACTGCACAGTTACAATTTTCTCTGTAGTATTTCGCTGTATACAGCTACAAATTACATATTTTCTTAGGCAAAGATAACGCAAACGTTGTCAATTTTAATCAAAAGGCTAGAAAAACAAACCGTGCACTGTAGCTTTCTGCAAATTGTATGGTATTCGATAATTACACGTGTAAACAGGAACCTACCTTTGCTAATGTACACTGTTTGGCAGATCTTTCCAGCGTAAGATATAAAACTAGTACATGAAATGAAATTAAAGAACTCATCAAGTCAAATTACCTGATCGTACCGTCATTACTGAATAATAAGTCCGCAAAATATGACATGGAATGATCGGTGGGAGACGAAGCTATTTTTAGGAGGACAAGGAACTGCACGCTGGAACGGAACTGACATGAACAACCTCAATCAAGTTCAGTCTTCTTGTCGCTATTAAACGTTTCACCCGAATTTGAACAGGAAGTCGTTTTCTATTTTCTTTCTCATTCTTGCATGTATTCTGCAGTTCGCCCTCTATTTTTTCGTAACTTTTAATTTTCTAGCTAACTGGAACTGTTAAGAACTACCAACCCCCCTCCCCCCTCCCCCTCTTTGAGTGAACTTTCATTCGGTCTGATTCACAATAATTTTCGAACGGTGACAAAGTGAAATTTGAAATGACATTTTATTTTGTATTTTTAAAAGCTCCTTCTTTTTTTCCCGATAGCCAGGAATGTTTGAACGTAAAGGCTCAAGTGGCGGTGTTTTTCACGACTCAGCTTGTAGACTGACCTCACCACCAGTACCACGGACATAAAATCTGATCGGAGAGGGTCATACAGTAACTAATGGGTCTCTGAAAAGCGAAATGCAGTCACTTTGGAGCGAGTAGGCTATATAGATGATGAACTCGTTGTTTATAACCCCATAACCGTATCCCAAAAGTCGAGCCAGCCCGGGGCGAGCGAGCACAATTTTGGGGCCACTGGCCACGCCCTTATGTTTAGCGGGAAATTGGTTGATTAGTCAAATCTCCTTAACTCCACGACCATGCACTTTCCAAATATAGCCCTTCTAATCATCATATAGTTAGGGCCTCCCGTAAGCATTTGCGACTATTCTGATTTGTAGAAGACTGTTTAACAGTTTTCATTACTTTAATGTCTCGTAAACAACACGAGGTACATGTTCTGATCTCTCCCCCCCCCACCCTTCCCCCATCCATAACAAAAAATTTTCAGACCAACACTGAATTGCATGAAGGTATGTACAAAAATATGACCATCTCGAGGCAAGGTTCATCACTCACTGATCACTGTAACTTACCACATAAAAGCCTTTTCGTTGTTTGCCATCGACTGATTCTGTTCTGAATACTAAGGTCCCATAAACAACGCCACGTTTAGAAAGAGCCCGCCCTTTTCAATCCAAGAAAACCCGAGTAGCGATTTCACCAACGGACATAAGCCGTAAGAAAAGAACCGCGTCAAATAGTTCATGAAATCACAAACGCCTCATGACACCTTTAATTCACTCTTTCTTCGATAAACTAATTTTTAATTTTTTAAGCATAAATGACATCAGAATGCGCGATTATGAGCATTGTAGCTTATGAAAAGAAAATTTAACACCTGATGCACATGAAAGCGTCTAAGAAGGGGACTAGGGGGAATTAGAAACATTGTGCTTACCGCTGGAAAAATATTGGCTAGTTCTTTGAATAGACTCAATTAAAGCCGTTTTCGTTCAGTAAGGAGCTGTTAGATGGGGGAAAGCTACATAAAGTATAGATCGCATCAGAATACGGCATAGGACTAGGCTCTCAAAATCGACAAGCTGAATGCAAGACCAATTATTATGTAAAACAGAGAAAAATTCCTTGAGGGAAAAAAATTATGGCTAAGGAAAAGACCCGAAGGTGGAAAGTTAGGATGGTAGCTTCTTTTCAGGTAATCGATCATTTACGATAACTTCCGCTATCCGACGGGCATATCGAAAAGATATGAGAGTATAACACATTCAAGAAGAAACAAATTTGTGATTTTTAACAACTCAATAAAATAACTAAAATTGTGTACTACTCGGTTATACAAGATTTTTGTTTTCAATTTCAGATTTTTACGATGGGGCATTAGCCCCCGTACTCACTAGACACTACTTTACAATCATCGTGTTAAAATCAGTGAAATACTCCAAAACAATTTGGATTCCTACCCTTATACCTTTATTAAAAATTAAAGTTGGGAAGTTTGTTGTTTTCTAAAAGTAGTTTGAACAGCCGAACGACATTTTTTTACACGGAGTGGGGAAGGCAAAGCTTGACTTATCTCTTCTAAGGTAGAAAGTGTCAGCAAAACGTGAGAGTCGTCCTTGAGGGTAAAGTGTCTAACCTAATTTTCTCACCGATTGCAAGTGCCATTTCATCCAAGCATAACTTCACCTAGTTAACAGAGTTAGCAAATGTAGTGGGGAAACGTTGCGAGAGAACTGAGTAAGATGTTAGGGTAAGTTTTTGAAATTTTCCGCACACCTGGAAAGTCCTGGCTACGCTCCTGATAGAGACTTTTGCTGGAGAGAAATTGAAACATGTTCGCTAATATAGTGACGACCAGAAAGCCATAGGATAGTTCCAGAAAACCACCCATTAAAATAGATCACGAAGTTGTCGCGGCGGAGGATGAACTTGAAGGCATCTGATGAAGTGCAATTTTTCAAGGGAGCCCAGACAAGATTATGTACGATGGGCACAGCTTGTTTGATCTGGAAAATTTAGAGAAGCTCAAGGCAAATCGCTAGACAACGCATGCTAGAGCTGAACTAAAAATCTTCTGCGCCTTTGAACTCTGTCCCTAAGGGTAAAGGGGAAAGTTTCCCTATATCAATTCATTAACCGAGCTGATTATGAATGTCTCCTTATGTTGGACGTCTTACTAACAAGCACATTACCACTACTTGCCCTCAGAGGCGTTTTTCAGTTGACGAGCAGAGAAAATTAGGTTTTGACTGTTTGAAATTCTGGATGCCAGAGTGAAGACGCCTTTTGTATGATGACGTCATCGTTCTACAGTAAAAAGCGTTCGTTTTTTACCACTGATATTACGTCAATCGGTACACTTATGATGTCGAAAGGTCCGTGAGCATGGTAAATGATTTTACCTTAAACTGCAGACACATCTTCAATCACTCCTTATTGTTCGCGATATCGGATAAACCCTCTGGTCTCTAACTGAATTTTCTTTGCTGTTTACTTTATTTTGAATTAGGACTGTCTTGAGTTGTCCATGCATTGTCTAGCGATTTTAAGCTTTTTCAAGGAAACAAAAATCTGGAATTGTCCCTAGGGTGAGGCATTTGCGCACAGTTTTAAAACCCTTCGGTGGGGTGACTGTGGTTTTTGCTGTCCCGGGCTCATCCCTCATTCTTCTTAACCCCTTCCAAACCAATTTTTCTGTTTATCAAGAATCTCCTCAAAACGGGCTTCGTGATTGAGACAAAATACCTGAAAATTGTACACGGAACCGTTGTTAACGGTGTACAAGGTAGAATGAGTCTATTCATTACTTTGCCAACGCCCAATTTTTAAAACCGGAAGTAATGATGTTTATTTCAAGGGCTCATGTCTCATGAGCTTTGAGTGAATCTTCAAACGCTGTAAACACATGTAGCTGGAACTATCATCGCATCGATCCTCGCTCACTAATAATGGTAACTTATATCAACTTCCACTATTTATTGCCTGGCTAAGATTTTCACGGATTCTTCAGTTCAGTTGTTTGAAACCAGGCGGTTTCACGTGAGTTGTAACGCCAGGCAAGGAACGTGACGACCCGCGATATGCGTGGGAAAATATTACTTTTTTTCGATCAAGGTGGAAACTGGCAACTTTGTCGTCGAGTAAGGTAATACATCTCAGTTTTCATTACTATGGTTAATTTTAAAAGCTCTGGTTTCGGTAAAGGAACTGGAGGAAAATCAGGAAAATTCCTGTTCGACTGTGATGGTTGAAGTTTGTTAACGCGTCATAGCATAAACATAACAAATTCATTTTCCTTTTCCTTATACAATCTGCCTTTTTTAATACTGTTTTTCGCAGCAGAGTTATCGATTATATTACAGAGGCTAATTTTATTACACAGATCACTCAGATTTAATGACAGAAACTCTATTATCGATTGTAATTTTGGCAACACCTGGCGAGTATTCGGTGTACAGATTATTGACAAGTCGCTAGAACAGTCTTCCATTCATTACTTTTGTTTCTGCTCCGTTAAATTTGCCCAATTTTTTTATTAATGAACTCGATTTAACCACAAACAGTGAGTATTCAGGCAGATTGGTATGCTTCAATGCGATGTGGCAAAACAGATATACGCCTTTAAAATTCTGTTAATTTTGCGGGTGTAAAAAATTCAAAAAGTATACCCACCAAAAGTTTAATCGATCGTTGCGAAAACGTTATCAATTTCGAAGTAGTTTCTAAAAATACAATAAAGAGGGATTGTTCTTTCAATCTGTATTGGCAAAGGAAGATTGGCTTTGAAGACAGGGTTGTAGTCGAAGGCTCAAAAGCAGCTTCTATTAACCAATATGGCGCCGGTCCGAGGCACCCAAAAACCGGCCATGTCGATAATTTCCGAAGTAGGAGGAATTAGAACCTAAAGTTACCTATTCCTTATTAAAGACCTCAAATCAAGTCTACATGCCAATTTTTAGCCAATTCGGTGAGATAGTGTGGCAGCGCCTTTCTAATATAGCTCGAATCTTACAGACAACTGCTCTTAACCTTTAAATTTTCCACTCGGTGCACAAGTAATTTCATAATACCGTGGTGTCTAACGCACAGAATCATGGGCGTGCCACCTAGTGTTTCTGTTGCTTTAAAAATCGCATTTAGGAGTTTAGAACACCATGGCATTACAATGAAACTCGTTTCCTTTAGCTAAAATATATCAGACATATTAACTCTTAATTTTCCTCTTTGTGCGCAAGTGATTTCATAATACCGTGGCGTCTAACTCACAGAATCACGGGCGCGCCACCTAGTGTTTCTGTTACTTTAAAAATCATCGCATTTAGGAGTTTAGAACACCACAGCATTAAAATAAAACTCGCCGCACTTAACAGTAACGTTTTTTTTAATAGTCACCCTTGAAACATGTTAAGGTGCTTCTTAGTGATTTCTCTTTAGGCTTTTCTCCGGCGTTCCATTCCTTGTTCTTAATTTCCATACAGTCCTCTCGCATGAACCTTAAGAACTGACTAATAGCAAAAATGAAACTCACCTTTTTCCCCGAAAGCAGCTATTCATCAAAAGGCTCCCTTAACAATGATTTCCATTCCCCTACCTAATTTTCTAAAATCCTGCAATACATAGCTTTTTCTTGACTGGATAAAGAGTTTTAACTCTTAAAAATAGCGGCACCGGCGATATTTGATAATTTTTGGCGGGCTTTGGACACGTTTTGGCTGGATGGCGATTTCACTATTCGACCGAATCCATTCGATCGCTTGGTCTCTGTGTTTTCTGCCGCTACTTTGACATCTTTAGGAATTTAGGCCAAGTTACTTCTAGCAATAGTATTCCGCAAACCCGTCATTAAATAACAGAATTTTTTTGTGTAGCTCGTTTGCACACGCTTTACATTATTAACAGCAGATCATGCATAATAGTCACCAAACAAATGCAGTCGGATTGGAAGATCAACGTTTTCGACATCAAAATGCCTACCAGACTGTCGATGAATAATACCAGTTACACGTTTATCGTAATATCTTTTGGCTCAGAAACATTTTGAAGGCATAGGGAGACCGTCTTCTTTTCGTAATGTCATCTAAACCTACCCAGACGCACACACTGTCCTTTACGATCATCTCAAGAATGCAATGCTGGCTTTATTCGATCAGAGGTCACATCGTAATATCACGCTACTTCCATATAAAGAAAAAGTCAATTATTATTTCCATTGTTTTGGTTAAATTTTTAACCGTAGTGCGTTGAATGTACAAGATTCTATCAGAGAGATGCCATAAATACGAACACAACGCACCAACGAGTGCGTGACGCGTGTGTGACAAGCGATTCACTGCGGAAACTGCAGTTTAGCAAGTTCACACCAAAAAATTCGTTGAATGTGCACACACAAAGCCTCGGAGATCAATGATTTCAATTTGGTTTGGCATCCATCTTTCCTTTACGATGAGTAATATGCTGTGTGTTCACGGACCGCGGGTTTTACATAATAAACATTTTGAATCAACGCTTTTATCTAGCAACATTCTTCCGATTCTATTTGAGTTCCACGACCTTCAATACATTCAATATAATATGGAACTACGCTATATTTCAATACTGGTAAATACCAGAGACAACACTTGAGTCGTAGGCCACGCGCGATTATCTGGATAACTCGTGAGCTGAGAACGAAAGTCTCTGTAATCTCTTCTCTCCAGATGCCGCCTTAATCTTGTTAAAAAATGTGACCCCTTATCGAATAACTGGCCACTGTTCATTAGAACCAAACGGTGAAGAACCTAATTGCTTTTCGCAGGAGGAAGTTTATTGCCGGTCATTCAAAACCTAGCGTCCTTAACAAAGCCGGCGTCATGTGGTGTGCAAAACAAAGTCATATGCGGGTCCTCATGAGTTCTGATAAAAAATTAACGAATTGTAGCCCTTATTTTATTGCCTTACAATATATCAATAATCTTGAAACTAAAAGGTCATATAAAAGGAAGATTAATCTCAAGAACCTTAAAATTTTAAAAAAATCTATCGAGCAGTTCAAAAATTATTCGCTAATTTGTTAAAGAAGACCAAAATGTTACAAAACCGCTAACAAGAGCGCTTCGATAAATACTAATCAAATCCTTCTTTCTAGCAATCCGTTGGAGCTATCTCCATGATCTTTTACACACCTTTTCAAAAAGATTGAAACTACTACGAGGTGAAATTGCATGTGAAAAGCGCTTTGTTTTCTACAGATAACGGCCAAACATGATATCAAGATTGTCCATTTGTTACTGTTTCTAACCATGAAAAACTTCATCCCACAATATCTCGATAACGCTCTTACAGATTTATTTCGCTTAAACTTCACGAACATCGAGGCCGCTATTGGAGGAAAAAGCTCCCGTGAACAATTTGGAGGAACAGTTCCTAGTGCCGAGATATACTGCTGCAAGTAAAATAGGTAATAGCGTCATTTCGTTGCTATGACAACTCCGATGTCGTTACAACCCTGATCATATCTAATACAGATGAAGTGTCAATTTTTCCAAATCTTCGTTTATGGCGACGTAGTTTATGCTCAAACTTGGGAGGTATTGACCCTGAAAATCTGTATCGAGTCACCTTAAAACACATGGAAGTTCATAAGCTCATGAGCCAATGGTTTTGGGATATCTGGGAAACATCATCGGTCCTAGGGACCCAAATTCAACAGTAAAAAAGTTGTGTGGCTGGCGGCGACCCAAACAAACAAACAAACAAACGAGAAACGAAACTTCGAGGGGTGTGTCGCAGCAGGTTAGGCTAGGGACTATTTTACGGGTCGACAAACAAGAAAACCACGGAAAACCCACGGTGACGGTTAACGGTGATTTAATTCTAAATTCCAAAGACCAAAATCTATAGGCCAAAGATTGACCGTAAAAATATCGGTCCCGCTTGTGCCAAAGGTTAAGACAAAATCACAAAACGATGTCACGACGCGAATCCTACTTGACTTTTCCTGACCAAAAGGACGCTAACGTGCGATTTTATACCCGCGTGGGGACGCCGAAATATGTCATTACAAAACCAATAGAAAATCAGATAAACATTGTAACTATGCTAGTAACTAGGTTCAAAGCATGAAAATCACAAAATCAATGAAAAGGTATTGTTCTTATGTCTTGTCCTTTACATGGCTCCCCTGAAATAATCATATTATTATTTCACTAAATCAACTAAATAATCAACTTAATGTTCATATAATCATGTTTTCCTTTCAAAGTTCAGTTCAATGTTCAAGGCTCCTCGGCGGGGAATTACCCCGGATCTCACTTAATTCTCAACTTGCATCAGTAGTACCAGCTTGTGGATCGGTCGGTCAAAGTACCGTAATTGACCAGTTCTCTTTCCCTTGGAATCGAGGCAGCTATCCGCAAGAGCTACCTGGACTTTACGTACTTGCCCATCCGCACTAGGGTAAACAACTGATACACGTGCTAACGGCCAAGCATTACGAGGTAGGCTCTCATCCTTCATGATTACAACATCATCTACTTGCAAATCTCTGCTTGGGCGTGTCCACTTCCGACGTTCTTGTAAACTAAGCAGGAACTCTTTTCTCCAGCGTGACCAAAACTCGTTCGCTAAATGTTGGACTCGCCTCCAACGCTTCCTGCAATATACGTCTGCTGGCTGAAAGACACCTGGTGGGGCAAGAACAACTTTTGACTTCATCGTTAGCAGCTGGCTCGGGGTCAAAGGACTTGGAGAATCTGGGTCTGAAATCTGGTTTACTGTCAAGGGTCGGCTGTTAACAATCGCTTCTGCTTCACACATCAGAGTCCTAAGAGACTCGTCGTCTATTATTGTCGCCCGTGATTGTTTAATAGCAATGAGAGAACACTCCGAACGGTTCTTATTTGGCGTTCCCACACACCTCCCATGTGACTCGCTGCTGGGACATTCATTTTGAAGGAAAACCAATCGCACTGCTCTTCTAATAGCTTTGCTTTAATTCTTTCTTGGTCCATTTCACTTAACGCTTGTGCAAGTTCTTTACGAGCTCCTACAAAGTTGGTTCCCTGGTCACTTCCTAGCTGGCGGATGGGTCCTCGCCGACTGATAAATCGTCTAAGGGCGTTGATAAATGAATCTGTGTCGAGGGAGTTAGATGTTTCAAGGTGTATAGCCCTCGGAGCCATACAAGTGAACAAAACGCCATAACGCTTCAGCTCCTTCCGGCCATCTTTAACGATAAAGGGACCAAAATAGTCGACGGCGCAGTAGGTAAAGGGAGGGGCAGTCTCTAAACGGTCTTCTGGGAGGTCTGACATTCTTTGTTCTTGAACCGCCCCACGTAGTTTCTTGCACTTGACACAGGACGAGATTATGCTACTGACTACAACTGAACCACTTATTATCCAAAATCCATTCGATCGTACTTCATTCATCGTCATGGTCTTGCCTTGGTGACTTGTGCGTTCGTGAAAATACCTGACAATGAGCTTGGTAACGTGGCTATTTCTTGGTAGTATGATGGGAAACGTCATGTCATCTGACAGACTTGCACGTCGGAGACGTCCACCGACTCGCAAAATTCCATCTTCATCAACAAAAGGATCGAGCTTGTACAGTGAGCTGTAAGTCTTTATGTTAGATTTCCTCTGCTGCGCAAAGACTCTGCTGTTAGGGTCCGGATTCTTCCGCTTTATCTGCTTCAAGAAGTCCAACTCCTCCTTGAATGCACTTGTCTGTACTTCACGAATGATAGCGCGTTCTGCGCTCTCTAAATCAGTGACTTTTACTTCTGTCAATTCTTCTTTACATTGCTTCTTCTGTACTCGTGCTCTTAAACTTCTTATGTAACGTATACACATAGCAATTGCTCGTTTCGCGCGATACCAGTCAGAGAAGTACTTCACTCTCTCACAAAGGCTTGTTTTCTCTGAATCTACTTTGACGATTTGTGTGGTTACCATGGTAACATGTTTCTTGACTTCGGGGTCGTTATTCTGGAGATCAAAGGTACCTTCACTGTGATCCTGTTTTATTGGCCACTGGTCTTCATTCTTCCAAAGAAAGGCAGGTCCGTTGATCCACCGAGAATGTAACAACTCCTGTAACACCTCGCGAAGCCTCATCTGCAGGGTTCTGTTTTGATTCGACGTGGTTCCACTGTTCAACTGAAGTGCTATTTTGAATTTCTTGAACTCTGTTAGCCACGAATACATGAAATCGCCTACTTTCATTGCTTATGTATCCAAGGACCACTTTGCTATCTGTCCAAAAGTACTCTTGGTCAATGTGATAACTCAATTCCCGACGCAACTGCTGGCTAATCCTCACAGAGCAAACAGCGGCGGTGAGTTCCAATCTCGGTACGGTTACAGGTTTCAGGGGGGCAACTCTCGATTTTCCCATGACTAAGGTACAGTGGATCCTTTGCTGCTCATCAATCATTCTCACGTAACTACACTGACCGTAGCCCTTTACGCTTGCGTCTGAGAAGTGGTGGAGTTCAGTGCGCACAACAGGACCAAAGTTTTCGGGCTTGTAACATCTCGAAATTGAAATTTGCTTCAAATTTAACAGGTCTGCTTTCCACTTCTCCCACTTGATCTTTATATTGTCAGGTATCGGGTCATCCCAGCTTACATCAAGGCGGCATAACTCTTGAAGTATTGACTTCCCGTCTAACAAGAGCGGAGCAACGAAGCCAAGAGGGTCAAAAATCGAACTTATCGTAGAAAGTATTCCTCTTCTAGTGCACGGCTTGTCTTGTAAGACGATGTTAAACTGAAAGCAGTCAGACTCAATACACCACTGCACACCAAGAGCACGTTCTAAGGGAAGCGAATCGAGGTCCAAATCGAGCTCTTTAACGCCATCTGCTTTATCTGACTCTGGTATTCTTCTGATGACGTCTTTACTATTCGACACGAATTTATGAAGGTTGAAACCTCCACTCTTGCACATTTGCTTCACATCTGAAATGAGCGTTACAGCTTCATCGATTGAGGGAACAGACTTGAGACCGTCATCAACGTACAAGTCGTTTCGAAGACAATCTGCGGCAGCAACACCAAATTCACTCTCATAGTCATTCGCAGTTGACTTCAAAGCAAAATTCGCACACCCCGGCGATGAAGTGGCTCCAAACAAATGAACGGCCATTCTATATTCTTCTGGTTTTCTAGTGACGTCACCGTCCTCACACCAGAGGAATCGAAGTAAATCTCTGTGGCTTTCGTCTACTCTGACTTGGTGAAACATGGCTTCTATGTCGCACATAAAGGCGATGGATTCTTCTCGAAAGCGGCATAGTACCCCGGTCCAGTTGTTTGTCAAGTCAGGGCCTTGAAGCAGGTGCTTGTTTAAAGATTCGCCTCTATGTTCCTCTTCGCAGTCAAAAACTACGCGAATTTTATTTGGTTTCTTTGGATGGTAGACGCCGTGGTGCGAGATATACCAGACATTGCTCCTTTCCGACTTGCCTATGTTTGGTACCTTCTCTGCATAGCCATTTTCAATGATGGTTTTCATAAAGTTTACATAGTCCTCTCTGTATTTCTGTCCCTTTGGAGCTTGAAATCTTCGTTTCAGCTGATCAAGTCGGCGGAGAGCTGTCTCTCTATTATTAGGCAGTTCGATGGGCTCGGTTTTCAATGGCAACGGAAGTTCGTAATGGCCGTCTTTGCACTGATGAATTCCCTGCTCGACTATTTCCAGAAATCGTCTATCCTCTTTAGACAAACCATGCCTTCCGCTGTTTTTGTGATCTGAGAAATCTAGTTCGAACATCTGATTGATCGCAGTTGGATTTATCAACTCCTTTGTTTTTCCTTTAAGCACGAAACTCAATCGGCTCTCACGATCTCCGGGTACTCTCTCTCTCGCTAGGGTGCGATGGCATGTGGAATTCAGGGAGTGGTCTTCTAAACAGCTGTGCGAGGTCGCGACAGGTCCCACGATAGACCATCCTAACAAAGTGCGAACTGCATAAGGATTTTCCCTCGCGCCATTTATAACCTCTTTTGGTTTGATTGCCTTGGGACAGTTACAACCAATCAACAAGCCAATTTCTGCGTCCTTTTCGTAGGGCGGGATCTTATCGCGTATTTTCTGAAGGTGTGGCCACTTATCCGCAACCTCCGGTGTCGGGATTTGGTCTCGTCTGGATGGAATGCTTTCTCTAGCGTACGCCTTCGGTAGCTCAACTTGGACACGTCCGTCAAGTCCTTGTACCATTAGACCATCGATTCTTTCTACTTCTAACACTTCACGACAAAGCATGGTACTAAGGTTCAAACTGGTTTGGACACCTTCTATGCCGAGTTTGTCTTGCACTTGGGTGGTAACGAAGGTCGTGTCACTTGCATCGTCTAAGAGTGCGTACACCTTTATTTGCTTTTCGGGATTAGCCTTGTGAAACAGATCGACCAAGACTATTCGACAATTGGTGATTAAGCTTGCATTGCCTGGGACTGAGCTGTGTGCCGCGCTAATCGCGTTTGAATTTGATGATTCGGGAGCTGGCTTGCTTTCACTACTGGCTTCCTTTGAGGCTCATTCTTCTTCGGTTGAAGAACGCTCAATTCTTCTTTCGTGTGTGGCTGTGGGTTGCTGGATTTGGGTTTTACTCCATGGAGGAGTGTGTGATGGCGCCTTCCGTTTTCTTCGCAAGTGAATCTGTCACGACAACCCGCTGACATGTGACCCCTTTTAAAGCAGCCGTAACAAAGTCCCATTTCACGAATGACATCACTGCGCTGGTTTACTGACTTCTTCAAGAAACTGCTGCATTTAACGAGTAAGTGCTGGCCTTCGCAGAGAGGACAGGGCTGGTACGATTTCTCACTGGCAATTTTTGATTCCTTGTGCGAGCCACCGGTCGCAAGAGACTTTCCGCTAGCTCCGTCGACGCCTTTGCTCTTTGGTCTAATTTTCCGTCCGAACCTCGGTTGGTTTACTGTCACCGTCTTATTTCTTTCCTTCTTTAGTGCGTCTGGTGAGAAAATAGGGTCGTTCGCTAGTTCTGCTTCTTCCTTAACGAACTTTACGAAGTCGCTAAAGGTGATAATCTTCTTTGTTTTCGTTTGTGCTTCATGGGCTTGCCTACACCACTTAACGCCAGAATAGGAAGGAAGCTTAGCACTGATTTGAAGGAGTGTTTGTGTTGAGTCAAGATCTCCCATAGAATTCATTGTTTTCATCGCTTCCTCACATCGCACAAGAAAGTCAGAGAACTCTAGGAGACCACTACTGTTTCCGTCACTGATCTGCGGCCATTTTCCAAGGCTAGACTTATACGCTTGTGCCACATGCACTGGATTGCCAAAACGGTGGTCAAGCAATTTCCGGGCTTCTTTGCAAGCGCTGTCCGAGCTCATAGCTAGAAATCCTTTCGCAACTTCGTTCGCCTTATCTTTAGTGTACTTGTCTAGAAAGAAGAGACGATCTCTGTCCGAGGGCACATTAGCGGAAACGATGGAGTCAAAAGCTGTTATAAACGCTGGATACTCAAATGGATCTCCGGAAAAGATGGGCGGCTCCTTTACTGGAAGGTGGGTAGTCTTCTGCTGATTTATCATCATCGAACTTAACTCTGCTTGTTTTGCTTGAAGGTTAACTATTTCGCGCATGGTAGCACTGATATCCGGACTAACGTACTGCGAGGATGAGAAAAACGGTTCTGGTCGCAGAATCTCGGGAGACTCTGGTAAGTTACTTGGGACGAAGGGAGGAACGTTCGGGTCCATAGGAAAATCTCTCTCATTTTTGATAAACTTTTCGGCACCCGTGCCTGATTCGAGATCTTGTTTCACGCTTTTGTTTTCTTCCTTAATAGATAGTTTGTCTCCATCTATTATTTTATTTAATTGCGTCCTCTTCGGCATTCGCAATTGCTATTTCCTTTTCAAGTTGCAAGCGCCTTATTTCTCTTTCTTTATCGAAAAGTTCCATTTCGGCTCGTAGCTTCGCTGCTTCAGCGGCTGCATCGACTAAGGCAAGAGAAATTCGATGAGACGAGGAAGATCGAGAAGACCGGACAGACGACTTCCCACTGTGCCCGGACTTCTCAGATGGAGGTCGAGTGGATATTTTCTCCAGTGCCTGAATGCGCTCACAAATTCTTATCCTACATTCAGTAAACTCTCGATCACGAATATCGAACCACTGGTAGGAGGCGTCTTTTTCTTCTGGCGATTCCAACAAATCATCGTACGCCTTTTGCGCGTCATTAAACTCATCTTTCAAGCGATCTAAATAATCCCTCTCTGAGGCTAATTGTTCAATTTTTGTCTCAGGTAAGTCACGCATTAGATTGATCTTCTCTATCTGCTTTTTCAGTCTCGCAAGCGCACAATCAAGGTTAGCTTGTTTAATCCCTAATTGGTAAGCTTTTCCTTTTCCCGTCATTTTTCTTGTACGAGGAGCTTCAGTTTTCGAAATGGAAGATGTGAAGCTTGTTACGCTCTTTGACGCCGGATGTGTTTGTTTCGGCGCATTACCTCGGGTAGGTGTCGGTGTATAGTTACGAAGGTGTGTGACGCTAAAGACACTCATAAGACCATCAAATAAGGTTTCAAAAGTTCAAGCAATGTTCAACAAATGTTCATAACCATCGGCAAACAAGACTGGGGCGACGACCCAAACAAACAAACAAACGAGAAACGAAACTTCGAGGGGTGTGTCGCAGCAGGTTAGGTTAGGGACTATTTTACGGGTCGGCAAACAAGAAAACCACGGAAAACCAACGGTGACGGTTAACGGTGATTTAATTCCAAATTCCAAAGACCAAAATCTATAGGCCAAAGATTGACCGTAAAATATCGGTCCCGCTTGTACCAAAGGTTAAGACAAAATCACAAAACGATGTCACGACGCGAATCCTACTTGACCTTTCCTGACCAAAAGGACGCTAACGTGCGATTTTATACCCGCGTGGGGACGCCGAAATATGTCATTACAAAACCAATAGAAAATCAGATAAACATTGTAACTATGCTAGTAACTAGGTTCAAGGCATGAAAATCACGAAATCAATGAAAAGGTATTGTTCTTAATTATGTCTTGTCCTTTACAAATTGTTATGTTAATGCAAGCAAAAAATATTGAGTCTGGTCTTTCCCTCGGTTTGTGATTTATAACTTGTAATACGGCTAATTTTAAAAAAGTAAAAACAAAATATGATGCTTATTAATTTAGCCACAATCAATGTATTTGTTCTCCACGCGCAGTACATATACAACTACTATGCACGGATCGCAGTCTAAAGTAGATAAAAGGGCAGTTTAAAAATTCGGTGTAAACAACATAAAGCGCGGTTTAGTTTCCAAGATAACATACCCTTTTCATCAAATAACATGGTAGTCTTACTTGTTCCATTGATTGTGGTATGTCCAATGGTCCAGTTTTATTAGAAGTAGCTTGCCAGATGCTTCGTTGTCCGCCATTTTTTCAACGTGTTCTTCTCTCTCTGTGCGTAACCAAAGCTCGCAAGTGTCATCACATGCGACGAAGAAGGTGTAGTTACCGCTTTCAGAAACCTTACGCGAGACAAAAAAAGGGAAAAAAGTAAGATAATTGACGTGCGAAGTAGGGTTACTCCCTGTCACCGAATGCGCAATTAAGGGGTGCCCGAAAGAGGATTTGCATTTTACGGGAAAAAGTAAGTACTAAAGGGGAAGGGATATTTAGGTTAATGTAAAGAAACTGCTAGGAAAATGCTCACACATGCCCAGAGAGCGAAACTAGAAACAGAAAATGAAAAATTATCAGTCGAATCCTTTAAAGAAGATACTTGGTTGAACGTCTGTAACTATTTTTGTGCACGTTGTTCTTTACAACATTATATTAGAACAATTTTAGAGAAAAAATAATAACAAGAGTTATGCACCTGCAAATACGCTGTAAGTCGTTGCCCGTAATTTGTATGGAAATCGAAGGGAGCGTCAAACTGTCGGAGAATATACACAACATTTGGATTGCTTGGAAAGCTGCTGTCATCTTGCAGACTCACAGCGAACGGATTATCGTACCAAAGTTCTTGAAGAACGCCATGAAGACTGTCTTCGCTTTCTATATATTTTATAATGGTTGAATATATTTGTCAATACCAAGCGAAGCAAAGACGTGCTTTTTAGAACCAATGTTTAAGAAACGAGTCGCAATTTTTTATACGCGCATTATTATTTCTTCACGTCAGGGTTGAACACTTTAATTGTCTTGCAAGGTTCAAAGTCAACATCAAGACCCCGTTTCTGATGCACAACATGGGTGATAGCACGTCCAAATGGTTAGCGTTTCAAACTTGCACTTTGGAGGTATTTTATAGCAGTGTTTCTTTGGATTTCTTGGTTTTGAAACCCGGGCCCCGGGGTTTTGAATTTGTTGGATGATAAGATTAAGTACCGGGAAGAGAAAACGTTTACATTTCTCACCTATTGCCGTTATCATCACCTCACACAGGCTTAAATCGTCTACACCATCTTCATAAATAGTTACATTTGAAGCAGAAATCAACGGTTCACAGATCATCAGTGCCTTTTGTCTATCCTTCCAGGAGTAAACTTTACAGTTTGCTTTTTTGGTTTCCACGCTGTTCCTCAAAATGACATTATGTTTGGGCATTTCTGCAAGGCAGCGCCCCAGCCTGTTTATGATCCAAATTTTGCTGACAAATCCTCGTCTTTGCAAAGTTACGGTCCACCAGACTGGCTGACCCTATGGTAAAGAAAGTTTTAAAAAGGTCGCACAGTATTAATCTTGTGGTTCAATTTCATTCTTGGTGGAACCTTATTTTTTCGTTTCAAACTGGATACCACATATTACCATACCCAACAACAAAGGGAAATAAAATTTAAATCAAGGGTAAAATTAAACCACAGCATTTATTTTGTGAAAGCGAGGGGGAGGTTTGTGCAGTAAGTCAGCATAGATTAAACAGGAAGTAACTGGACTTTGAAGGACTTTCTGTCACACTTTTGACACGCCGCAAGGCCAGAATATTGGAGGTATCTTGACATCTAGCAACTTTAAATTACAAATATAGAGAATTTAACTACGAGCAAAGCTAGATGATCCATCTGATAAGCGAGGTACAACTGAAATGGATTCTTACCACAAAAGAACTTACCTTTTGCCTTTTAACCGTGAAACAAGACGCAACGTGACCGTCGACAGCGTGGAAGGGCTCACCGCTGCTGTTTGCCTGGGATGAATGGACGGATTGCCAACCGATCAAAAATCTTCCTAAGGATTATTGAATGATAGGAAAAGCAAAATTAAAGAATAGTCTTCTAAATTTTCCAAAATTCCAACTGCAATTCCAATTTTCCAAAATTTGATTTGTGATCTACGGATCTAAAGCAAACCTCATTAAAAAAAAAAGCGTGGAACGAAGGACTTACGTTCGTCTGTTTCACAAACGAAACCGCATGATAGATTCCAATGACAAGGCCACAGACGATCGGAGTTTAGCCAAGGGTCCCCAATATAGTCATCGATGAATCTTGAAAGTGAGTGCAGTTGAACGGCATTTCCAAGAACAGCACGTCTTCCTCCAAGGTTGTGACACTTGAACATGGCGTCTTTCGAGGTTTGGTAATTATAAGAATATATTCGAAAACATGAATCGCCCAAATTAAGCCAGCCAGGTGTGCATGCTTTTTGTTCTGTAGTTGGGAAAAAAAATAACAATTGATACACTAGTTTCTGAACGGCAGACCAAAACTTCAGGTTTTACGTGAATAATTCTTTTTTGTTTTTCATTTTAAGCCACATAACTGGATACCTCGTTACCAGCCGGCAATTGTATTAAGCTCACAGTTAAAAGAAAACTAACCATCGTATGATTTTTGGAAAAGATAGGTTTTATGCCTAAGTTTAGAGCCATCTTAGTATAAGTTCACTTATTAATTAACTTACGGTCTAATGACACATTTGCAAAGAAGTACTCTGTAACTGTTTCACGGCAGCAGTTGTGGTATTCCTCCAAGGCAATTCCGTATGGTAGTTTTTCTCCCCGATTCAGAAGCAATATCTTTTTGTAATGTGGCTGATATGTCCTTGAGGAAAAGAAGAAGTCTCGAGGAAAGCAACTGAGGTCATCTAATGAAAGCTCTTGGGTGATGCCTTTTGCACAACGGACAGTGTTTGCTGGGTACACAAAGTACATCACATCGGTTGAAATGTTTCTTGTTTGAAGAGCATACACTGTAAACTGATAGTACCATCCATTGTAATCTGGAATTCTGTCCAATTTGAAGTCTGTAGCATCTTCCTTTATGAAGGCGTATAATGACTGGGTAACTGGAAAAAAAGGAAAAAATGTTACAAATGTCGTTTGCAATACTTTTTATGAGTTTGATCCATATTTCAGTGTCAGCATATTGGAATATTTCAAAAATGCAGTGGTAAATTTACTCGTACATACCAAGTCGTTCACAGCGTCCATTTCTAAATGCGATGTTATCTATGGCTATATCACTTGTAAAGGAAACGCCCCGTACTCCCTCCATTATAATCTATAAAGATTAAACCCTGAAAGTTAGTTAGTGGACATATTCTAGTACGCTTGTCGTAACTAGTCTAAACTAGGCTAAAAAGAGCTTACGGAAAAACAACAATGCACTTTACAGTCACTTAAATAAATTCATTTCAGCACTAAGAACTATGCTTATAACAATGGGATACTATTGTATCAATAAACATCGCGCCCATCAATCTAGGAATTCGAAGACTGGATAATCTTGGTTGATTTTTAATCGGTTTTCTGACGGTTTTGTTGCAAGGTGTTAGAGTTCCTGATGCATGTACAGTGTTCTCCTAGTTTCGTATATCCTTTCATGTACTCCTGTTTTCACAAAGATGACTCTGGCTTAAAATCTTTTATCTAAAACTAAGCAAGTAAAGGTAATAGTTTGATTCTTTTGTTATCTTCCATGTAGGCATTGTACATTCTCTTCTTTTATTTTACTTTACTTGGTTAACAGATTCTGCATCAAGCCAGCGCAGGCAAAGAGTAATTGAAATCAGGTTATAGCCCGCTTTCTCAATTTATCAGTCAGATGGATTACCTGGTAGAGAGCTGAAGAATTGAGAAATATAACAGCTTCGAGCCATTGATTGGGGTGATGGCCTGTTTTAATCCATTCCACTGTTTCACTGCTGTTTGTTTTCATGTAGATTACCAAGCTTCCCATGGAACTTCCATACATATGATACATGAATGACATGCACTTTGCACCTTGCATTATAGGACTTAAAAGCCTCACGTTGTCACCATGTTGCCGCGGAAAAGATGCGTCAAGATATGCATACTTTCCATTTCCTGGAGATATTGAAACAAAATATTCGCTGAGTTGACGCTTTCGATTTTTACATATCCATTGCCTTTAGTTACTTTTATAGAATACTAAGGAATCACAAGATAACGATTGCAGGGTTTTTAGGCGAGAGCAGATGTCAGTAAATATCGACCAGGGGTCTGCAAACGTGAAAAATCGAAAATTCTCAAAAAAAATTCACAAAGTAGCACTAGGTAAGCTGTTAACATAAATGTAATTTTTACTTCGATCCGATGATTATATTAGATGTACGGTTGTGTGGGAAGGGGGGGGGGGGGGGTATTGGTTTCGCGGCTCACGGACCGGGTTTTACAGGCCTGAGACGGTGTGTCACGCAAAAATCGTTTTAAAACTCGAATCAACTGTAATGCAGACAACAATTAACTTATTCAGAAAAGTACATAATTATACACATTTTAAGAGGTGATTTAATCAGTTTTAACGAAAATGTAATACTTTCAATATTCTGAACGTTTCCGTTGAATGAAAAAATGGCAAATTTCAAAGCCCAAAATCGTCGACTGGTACCTCGATTTTAGTAAAAAGAGTCTTACACCACGTTAAAGGGAACCTCCACTCTTACTACAGAATAATTTTAAATCGAATAAAATTAAGTTGATAAACAAATTTGTTCGAAATTTGTCCTTAAAAAAAGTGTTTATATCAGGAAAAGTGAATTTTAAAATCGTTTATTTTCACTTTCAAATTTCGCGGGCGCCGCCATCTTGAATAGTTGTGACGTGTTATGGTTGCTCTATTGTTCTGACACAAAGAGCTTTTGTTTAATAACAATTGGTCAACCGTAACACTTCACAATTATTCAAGATGGCGACGCCCGCAAAATTTGAAAACAAAAATAGGCGAATCTAAAAGTTATTTCTTTCGGATACAAACGCTTTCTTTAAAAATATTTTAGATTGACTTGACTGTAACAGTTATTTTCTGTGATTTAAAGTTACATTTTTGTTGAAGTGGAGGTTCCCTTTAAAGAACGCCCGGGAAGAACGTTACCTAAACTATGGGCAACTTAAAAGAAAATTTTGGAGGCCAAAAAATACAAGTAGTACTTTTCTGAAATTTGAGCTCTCCTCGCTCAGCGCGGCCGTATACTGAGTAATTACATGACATTGATAAAAAATCAACTAAAGGGTGAGACTCTATAAGTCGCTGCCTGACAAAACGAAATGGTGAACAAGAAGTGCTGCCGCTCATTTAAATACTAGGTGGACCACATCCTGAACTCCCGCGAAAACCGCAAGAGAGGAGCGCTCAGCTAAGGAGACTAAAGCCCGAAAAAACAACAGGAGTCTTGAGAAACGTCCTTATCCTATTCTGCCGGGTTCAAACTTTCAAGGAAGCGCTGATCAAGAATCATACGTAAGGAATAAAAACTTCTCGCAGCTTCCAGTGAAAGCATGCGAAGAGTGACTACAGTGGTAGGCGGTCGTTCTGTGAAATGTAACGAAATCTTTGCCGTTTGGATTTTCGCTGTTGTTCTGTAGTTGGTTTGTTCCCGCTGTTCTCCCGTGTGGATACTTCACATCTACAATATATGGGAACACCAAGCTAAGGTACGAACAACAAACACTCAAAACATTGTTTTGTACGCTAAAATCTGATTTCCTGGACGTAAAACGTTTTGAATTTTAAGACTTTTTTAATTAGTCACTGATTAGTGCTTTGTCCTTTGACAACGTGCACTTGGCAGGAGTTGACAGCTTAAATCTGCCTTTCCTTTTAGCAAACGGTTTTAAACTATATCAGATTGCTGGATAAAGGTCTTGTTATATGAAAGATGATAACATCAAACCACTGTTGCTCAAACTGATTTCGTATAAAGTAAGTGTTGCGTCGAAATACGAGCCCAAAAACAGGTGGTAAGAGGTAAATCTGTGACAAGTAACGTAATCTCCTTCGCCCTTTGAGAGTTGCCTGCGTGCAAACGTGTGCTATTTCCTTTGTTGCACGCGGAAAAGGGACGTCTGCGTAACGCAGTCGCTAATCGTGTTCCAGCGTCCTGCTGGGTTCCCAAGATCTTGGGAACATGCTGTGATAGGCTGACACACAGTGCGCATTGTTTGCCTTAACGCTGATTGGTTGTTATCGAATCTTGTCTGATAAAGTATGCGGTGATTTATGTAATCGGGGTTTTCCAGCCAAAACAAATCAAAACATGTTGCCATTGTGTGCAGACCATTAGAAATCTTGTGCGAGGCCGCGAAAAATTTAACGTGTGCGAGGAAATTAGTTTTTTACAATTTACTGTGCATGACACATCACATCATATTTTAAACAGTGTCTGAGAAAACTACAAAGGCGGCGTGGACTTTGCACGAGGCAGGCATTTCGGAGAAAGCCAGCCAACAAACAGAGGTCAAAGAAAATTTAAACACTCTACTACTGCATCTGAAATTAAATCCTTTCAGGAACAACCACAGAAGCATAAACTACAGGAAATGGTTACTCAATATGCATGTAACAAACCTGCTTCATGACCTCTCCTGCGGCAAAAACGAGATTTACTCAGTTAAAGTTTAGAATGCTACATGCAATGTGTAGTGCCAGTAACCTCCGCGCGAGAGAGAAAAGATAAAAAATCTCTGTTGAAGCAGACTCTCAAGGTCACGTTTCTTATTATCACGAGCTTATGATGTTGTGTTTGGCCTGTCAACTCTTATTTCTAACCGGATATTATTTCACAATTAACGCGAAATAGAATACCCTGGCAGCAGGACGCTGGAACACGATTACCGACGGCGTTACGCAGACGTCCCTTTTCCGCGGGCAACAAAGGAAATAGGAGACGTCTGCACGCAGGCAAATTTGAGAGCAGTCAAAGATGCTCATGCCGATGCTGTCCTTGGTGTATTTTAATTCCAATATCTAGGAAACCCAAGCTAAGGTATGAAACATACACTCGCAGGCATTGTTCTTCTCGGTAAAATCTATTTCCTGGACGCAAAAACGTTGTGATTTTTAAAGTTTATCTGGTTTATTACAGTGCTTTGCCCTTTGACAATCCGACGTGACTCGTGCACTTGGCAGGAGTTGACAGCTTAATCTACCTTTCTTGTTATTCCGAGTCAAGTCAAAGGTTGGATTGTTGACTTCTTGATGGACTGGAAACAAAGAGTTAAACTTGCTCAGGATTGTCACTCTGAATGGCGCTCTGTGCCATCCGGTGTCCCACAGGGAACAAAACTAGGCCCCTGGTTATTTCTTTTCATGATTAATGACTTGGACACACCAGTTGACATGTGGAAATACGTGGATGATACATCTTGTTCCGAAATAGTTACAAAGGGTAGTGAGAGCAAACTCCAAGAAGCTCTGGATGACCTTTCGAGACAAGCGAGTCTCGATGGGTTCCAACTGAATGAGGCCAAGTGCAAAGAACTTCGAATTGGATTCTCCAACAGCAACCACGATTTTGAACCCCTAGTCCTAAATGGCAAACCCCTTGAATTAGTCACCAGTGCCAAATTGCTAGGCGTGACCATTAGCCACGATTTAAAGTGGAACATGCACTCCTCTGAACTAATTAGAAAATGTTCCTCTCGTCTCTATTTTTTACGTCAACTCAAGAGATCCGGAGTGGCACCAAGTGAACTGGTGCAATTCTATGTGACATGTATTAGGCCCGTCCTGGAATACGCAAGTCCTGTATTCCATCGTTCTCTACCAAACTACATCAGTGAAGATTTGGAACGGATCCAAAGAAGGGTTTTCAGAATCATCTATCCTGACCTGTCATATAGTGTAGCACTAGAAACAGTTGGCCTACCGAAACTTCATGAGAGGAGAGAAAAGATTTCAATCGATCTGTTTGAAGAGATCGTCTGTAACCCTACCCACAGTCTCCATAGCCTCCTCCCCCAAGGGAAGAGTTGTAAATATGCACTGACATGCAAAAGTGATTTCACTCTCCCCCTATGTAAAACCGAGCGTTTGAAGAAAAGTTTTATTTTTAGCCATGTCTATAAGATGTAGATAATTTTTCTTATTTTCTCTTTGTTATCATCAGTATTTGTAAATATCGCGTAATTCAGCCTATGGCTGCAATGGTGTTTATAATAAAGTATCTATCTATCTATCTAAACTATATCAGATCGCTGGATAAACACTAGTCTGCTACACAGCCGTTTTCAGTGTCGTCACGCAACACTCCTCCTCGCGAGGAGTGTGGCGTGACGACACTAAAAACGGCTGCGTAGCAGACTAGATAAACACGTCTTCGTTTCTGAAAGCTGATAACTTTTTAAAACCACTGTTGCTGAAGCTGATTTCTTATAGTATTTTTCCGAGTTTTTAGCATCGGCCCGCTGAGCGAGAAAGCTCAAATTTCAGACAAATACTACTTGTCTTTTTGGCCTCAAAAAATTTCTTTTTAAGGTGATTCCCTGGTTTTGCACTGCGCATCTCTTACTGCGCATAACAAGATGGCCTCCGTAACAAAGAGCATGTGAAGTAACATTATTAAAATGAAGTTGACCGAAGAGAAACGCTATTAGAAGTTTTGCTAGCGGTTGTTTCTCGCCGAGGTGAGACTCAATGTGGTGGGAATGTGCTTAACGTAAGCAGTACGCGTGTTGCTGAGTTCGACTTCCTCACGGAGAACCTCGATAGTGGATATTTAATTTGTGCTTATTCACTTTGATTTTCATTTAAACGCTTTTCTTTATCAAATTGTGTCCTAAATATGATATCTCGATGTAAATTCTGTAAAAACGGATTTTTTAATACTTTCTTGCCCCTTTCGCATACATTCTATTTTGAAACTCGCCCCAGTCCTCTCTCAAAAATCAAGGAAAATGCATTTGTGCGCACTTCCTGCAGCTCTACCGCAAAAACGAGTTCGGTGACCCCCATTTTTTATTTCATGATTTTAATAAGGACAGTGCTTCCTTTCGGTGCGAAAAAAATTGGCACAAATCTATGTTCAGTTTTTTGGCAATTTTACTAAATTGTACCAAGAGACTATAAAGGGGACAGAGAGGGCATCCCCCATATACACCCTATTCCATAGG